TCTGTATTTGTGTCTGTATGTCTTTCTGTATTTGTGTCTGTATGTCTTTCTGTATTTGTGTCTGTATGTCTTTCTGTATTTGTGTCTGTATGTCTTTCTGTATTTGTGTCTGTATGTCTTTCTGTATTTGTGTCTGTATGTCTTTCTGTATGTCTTTCTGTATTTGTGTCTGTATGTCTTTCTGTATTTGTGTCTGTATGTCTTTCTGTATGTCTTTCTGTATTTGTGTCTCTATGTGTGTCTGTATGTCTTTCTGTATTTGTGTCTGTATATCTGTGCTGCAGTATAACTGGGGACCGAAGCAATCGCGTGATTCCTCCGGGCAGCTCGCTGGTAAGTTTACGCGTGCAGCGCATGCGTGGGAGGAGAGGCACTGTACGGGGGAGGGGCCCCCTGTGCGGAGTATGTAGATGTATGAGGTCACGCAGGCGAAGCTACATCATACGCACACCCGTACAAACTTCCTCTTTGCGCTGCTTACTAAGCAATTCGGAATTTGCAGCTGTCTCTAGGATTCGAGAAGACTCTGAGGGAGTAGGGAGTGGGGGTGCAGCTCACGCCTCTCCTTTTCTGTAAGCAGTGCTCTGCAACCCTGTCTCTTTCTCTCTCTCTCTCTGCGTTTCCTGCAACTTAGGCAGCCGTTCCATGGGGCCTGCTACGTGGCAGCGAGAATTTATCGGCTCTCACGAATCTTCTGTCTCCCTTCGTGGAGGAGGCAAGACGAAGGGAAACGAGGCAGAGCTTGCAAGAGCAAAACTGCAGTGTATCTCTAGGATTCTGGCCATGGCGAGACTACGCCTGCTTAGCTACGGCATCCGCAGGTTTGCCCGTTCTCCCATCCGTGCAGGCGCTCCCTGATCCCCGCCTTTGCCGTTATTTACTATTTTTCCAAGGCGCTTCCTGCCTGCGGAAGGCATGCGTGTTTATCGCGCTTCTTACGGCAGCAGCACGGCGCGCGCATATGGCTGTGGACTGTGTACGCGGTGTTTCCCGCAGGCTGTACGCGTACACCTTGAACGAATCCGTAGCTCAGAACATACAAAACACAATCAAGAAAACAAGCATGGAATTGCGAAAAGAAGCCATTACCACTGGATCTGCACTCGTCATGTCTTTCATTCGGTACGCCTGCTTCAAGAAGCGCATGGGCCCAGTGTGCTGATTTGAATGATCTGGCCCTGTCTGAAGGGAGAGCGTCACCGCGTAAGAAAGGACAGAGTCTCAGTAACAAGAGGGAGTGGCAAAACACTGCGGCATCACCTCGAGAGGGAAGCAAGCAACTCGGGGGCTTTCTGAGGGCTGTGTGGTACTGCGGTGCGGTTTCCGCCATCCTCAGGATGAGTGACAAGGCGTCCCTCGTCAGAGCGTTCTGGATTCTGGTGCTCAACTCCGAAATTCAAAATCATGCACAAGAAATCCAAGCCAAAAATGAGCAGCTTAAAGAGGCGCAACAACAAGCCGCAAGTAAAACGCGTTCCGGCTACTCCCCGACAACCTGTCGGGCATGCCATGCGTGGACTGTGCTATCATCGGAATTGAATCAAAGCCGTACGCTCTTCAGCATGATGTGTAGCGCCTCACTTCCAAATCTGTCGCACTCACGGAGACTTGCAAACTTTTAGGGCTCCCAGCACGCTTTAGGTCGTATTGATACACACACTTGAACACACACTTGAACACACACATACACTTGAACACACACACAGACATACACACACTTGATCACACACACACATACACACACTTGAACACACACAGATACTGCGCAGTAGCGACAGGCCCGGAAGGGCGTGTCTAAAGGTGCGCATGCGCGTGTGGCATACCAAGTATTTGGTGTGTCTTTGTATGTCTTGCGATTTGAATGATTGATGGGCATAGAGTCTCCTCCAGCACGGCATCCAGCGGAGCCTCTGATAGGCAATACGAAGAGTGGAGGGTTAGGTTTGGCACCTTCCCAAGGGGGTGGTATTCCGCTTCCCGTTGCGTATGCGCCTCACTACTTTCGCGATCTTCCGTCAGCTCAAAAGCGTCGAAATATGTACTTCACCACTACGCCTCCCCGAGTGCCGCAGGGAGTCCATCCAAGTACTGTTCAGAGGGCACGAGACTTGGCGCTCTCTCAGGAGGTATGTGAATGACGAAGGGGCGCGCATGAGTTAGGGGTTTTGTTTTTGATTTGCTTGCTGTTGGATCGCGGCGCGATCGGGGGTGCAGTCTGCAGAGCGCTCGCAGCGTTGATTCTGTCTGCTGTTAGACGAGACGGGCAGCGCCAGCCTCCCCGCAACGCAACGCAGTCACCCTAGGGTGCATTTTAGGAGGAGGCGTCTTCTAGTCAGCGCTGTTGGGTGCAGCCTGCGTCTTGCCTGCTTCCCAAATGCAGACGTTCTTCCGGCCAGCATCAGTGGCTGAGGGCTGGAAAGGCACTGGTACTAACGGCTTAGGAATAGGTTTGGAACCTGTAGGTTCCGTTGTGGGATCTCGCGCGATGCCTAAGGAGACCAAGCTAGACGCAGCCAAGGAGATTCTCAAGGGCGCTCTTGGCTTGCCTGCGTGAGAGACACAGGCTTGCTCACGTTTTGGCAGCTCCCTTGTTTGGCGATCCTCCCGACAGATTTTAGGCACCTAGGGGGAGGGGGCAGAGGGTGGTCAAATGGTGCTAGTCACTGGCCGCGCTGGGTGTGTTTGTGCAGGACCACACCAGCCTCTCAACCCCTGACTGCGGCACAGAGGAATGACGCCTATATGGAGCAGCTGCTTCGAGCAACAGACCAGCGCCTGAAGCTGCAGTGACGCTGCAGGGAAACTGCAGTGACACGTGCAGGGAAGCTGAACGAGGCTTCGCAGTCATGTGGATAGAGGGCCCCGCAGTGGCCATGCACAACAGCATCGCAATGTGCTTCTTCTAGAGTTTAAATGTAGTGCACCCGTTTGGGTAACGAACGCGTGCGGTACATGTCAGAACGCCCCCTGCCTTGTGCGTCATATGCAGAGGGAAGCCTTCCCGCTGCCAAGAAGTCGCAAAACGTCGCGGCATGGCGTCTGCTATGAACCCCGAGCATAGGCTTTTGCATCTTGCTCACGCGAAGGGAGAGGCACAGGCAAAACGGAACAGCGTTGCTGCCAGTGCAGCTTTCACGTACTTCTACTGCCATGGGGATGTTCGGATAGGCAGAACCTTTTATAGCCTTCCCATAATATGTTTTCCCCATGAAACACTACATGACACTGCAAAAAGTATTGTGCTTTACACTTGAATGCGGCGCCGTCGATGCTCATGTGCGCGCACGACCTATATTTTCTGCCAGCCAGTCCACCGTCTTCTGAACGCCTGCAGGTGCACCAGCATGCAGACAGACGGCACAAGAGGACTCAGCAGGAAACTACTGCCACCAAACTTGCAATTGCTCTAGATGCAAGGGAGCCCAATTTTTTGCGAGGGCATAAGCAGGTAAGGCGCCCATGCGCACTGCTCAACCCCACAGCCTCAGGATCGTTGTTGGCAGCGAGTTTTGCAGAGACCTTTACGCACAACCAAGGGCCAGCATCCGTCTGCTGAAACAGGTACAGACTGCCATGCGCCTCCTCTCGGAAACGCGGGCATGGGCAGCTCCTGCTCAGCCTTTCTGAGGTGCTGCCCCCGGTTTCTACGTTCATGCCTACCTTCCTCGAGAGGAGTGAAAAGGAATTCACGACCGATAATAACTCTCAGTTTCGAATTGTCAGCAGGCTGCAGAAAAGCACCAAAACGATCCTTTTGTCACATTAGCCAAAGCTTGCTTGAGCCTATGAGACCCGCGGCTGGATTGGGCTGTTCAGGGTCGGTCACTGAGCTCGCCTTTCTCAAGACGCCCTCTGGAGCCACTTCATCGAACTGAGAAAGTCGCAACCAACGAGCATACGGCACACGTGCGCCCTTAGCTACAGTCTACCGTTGTTGGCAGCCAAAGTCCCTACTAGAAAGGAGCCAAAGGACTCGAAACACCCTAGTGGAGCTGGCAGCCACAGGCAAATAGGGATAGGCGTCTGTCAGTACACTCCAACGCGGGTACCCCCGCTCTAGCATATACCCCCTTGATCATGAATCTCTATACATACACATAGAGATATCTACCTTCGCTGCATGCAGCAGCAGGAGGCCATCATCGGTGAGGGGATTTATTCCCGCATCTGACCTCAAGTGGCCCTTCAAGTCCTGAGCACTGCTTAATTATCAACGCCAAGTTGCTGATTGAAATTTCTGAAGCACCCAGGCAAACGGGAGCCGGCAGGAAACTTGACTTCACGTCAACGAAGGCGGCATCGAATGGGCTGGTGTACTGACGAAGCGCGTATCTCACGGAGCACGTAGTATCTAGCTAGTTATCATAGGAAGATTGGCAATGACACCATATCTAAATATATCTAAATATATATATATATATATGTACTTAACCGTTGTACATGCCGCTCAGGAGCTATGGGGCTGCCGATGAACGTACCGCTATCTTCTAAGTCGGGACACATGTTGAGCAGGCAATGCGTCTGTGGAATCTCCCGCTTCACTAGCAGGAGGAGCAGCAGCCGTGCAGCATCATCGCTGAACAGAAACTGCCGAAGAGTTCGTCCAGTGCCGCGAACCACGAGCTTCCCGTCGCTCTCTGCAAGGATAGCTCAGTGTTCACACGCGCTTCCCTGCCCCCTTTGCACGAGCTCCGTAGAACTAATATCATCTCGAATCCAGACTGCAATGCCCTGCTCTCTGACCAGCATTCAGGTCACTTCCCGCATGCAATGTGGAGAGGCCCTTGCTGCTGCAGCGCTCTCCACATCCCATGTGCCTCACACAAAAGGAACCGGATCTGGCGGCAACAGCAGATGCACACAGGTGAGCCAGAGGGACGCCCCCTCGCTCACGCTTTGCTAGCAGTGCCTTGTGCACGAGTGCTGGAAGCACATGCGCCGTGTTCAAGTTAAAGTTGTCATGCGGTCCGTATAGGTTGCACGGTATGACGCAGATCCAAGTAAACGACTGCCCTAAGCCGTAGAACACGCACAGGGGAAAGATACCCCCATAGTTTAAAAGTTGCATCCTTTGGCAAAATGTATGGGGGGTGCCTATTTGGGAAGTTGAGGTTTTCGCCGCTGGCCTCGTGTGTCCCTCCATAAAAGTACCGACCCGGATTCTCTTCTTCCAGCCGTTGACGGCTAAAGCGAACTTGCTGCTCCAGCAAACGCTTGGCTGCTGCGTAGCCTTCGTTAGACGGGTGGGCTGGTGCTATGCTGCGAGACGCACAGTCAGTCGTAGTCAGCGGGTTTGTCATGAATTTTTCCATGTGCCACAAGATTTCATAAAAGGGCATGCCCTCGAGAGGCCACGTGCCGCTGATCTGGGCGGCTCGCCACTCGCTTACTGTAAATACTCTTCGACAAGCGGTAACTTCGGCACTGCTTCGGGGTAAGCGCATGTGGAGAGGCAGAAGACTGCTCGGGGGATCTGCAGCAGCCAGAGAAACACACATCCGTCTATAAAAGTCGTATGAAACAAATTGCATCGCTTGGGGACAAGCAGCCCGAGTGATTGCAGCGCAGATTTGTTGCGCTCAACATTACAAGTGTAGAGCTGCGAGGTTATTTTTTCAACGAACTTTTGCCTCCCGTGCGGCATTCACAACGTTTGTGCTTATCAGCAAGTTCTCGCGAAGAAAGGCTTCCTATGCAAAGAAACACACACGCTCAAGGCAAACGCAAGATGAGCTTGTGACCACCATCGAAAGCCGCTGTACTGCGCCTGGTGGGAACGGCAGACACTTGATGTGGTTAGGAGAACTGCTCTACAAAGAAAAAAAATGCAAAGTGTACAGGCGACAAGATGCCATTAGAGGAGGGGGGAAGGTCGCAAGTGGATGCAGGATGGCGGTATCCCGTAGGTGGCACACGATGAATGAAAGAAGCTGAGCCGCGCTGTAGGGCGTGTGGATTCAGCTGATGCATATACATTGTTTTGCATGTTGTCGTATAAGCCTCCAACTTTTGCCGCGAGGTGAATAATGGCACTTGGCTGATGTTTTTGAAAGAGAAGCTGGGTTTCTGACCAGAGCCTGCAGTGCGCAGTGGCACACACATTTTTGCACTGACAATGATTCGGCGCTACCGATCGCTTGCACGCGCTTATTACCAACTCTTCTAGGGACTGTTTCGTAGCCTGGTGTTGGGCATACAGTCAAATGTGCGGCGGTCAGTCTACCTTAGGTCAGCGTCTCGACTTCCCACAAACACAAAGCGATATCCCTCGAGATCTCCCGCTTGTTCCTCCAGCGCGTGGACTGTCGCCTGCAGCGCCTTCCCCAACAGGCCAGTGCCACCTAAGACAAGGCACACCGGCGTGCGGGATTGTGAACTGCCTGTGTTTGAATGCGACAGCCCTGTGAGCTTTTTCACCAGACCAATCCCTGGCCGCGTCATTCTTAAGAACCGAGTTGGAGATGTCTGGCGACGCAATACCAGCAGTCTCCTGCCAAATGCTAAATGGACGAATCCCTCCTCGCCGCGGCGTCGGACACCTTCCGTAGGAGCCACAAGCAACAGTCCCCTGCGGTCGCCCCAAAGCACACAAACGTATGAACTCTGCCGTCGAGCCCCCCTTCGAGTCAAAGAGGTGCGCTCAAAACATGCCATGGCTTGCAGCTGTTTTAGTAGGGCGGAAAGAGTCGCAGTGCACAAGGGCACATCTTTTCGCGTGAGCGTGTATCATGAGTTGCAAGAGCTGTTTACAACACAGAATACAAGCTGAACTGACGCAAACTCAATTGCGTTCGTGTCCGAATTTGCTTCGGTGCAGTAAGGTAAGCATGGCAAGCCGGCGGAAAACAGACCAAAGGGGGGCATACCTTGAGTCTCCTGCTACCACAAGTATTCCCCTTAATTCCACTCGAAACTCTGAATTACTTGAAAATTAACGCTTTTACAATGATCCTGAGCATGCAAGGATCGGAAATGTTCAATTGCTGGTGGGCTCCTCCGTGAGGGAAGTCTCCGCGCCAGCGCTGGAAACGCTACGGCCTTGCCTTCCCCTCGATGCCGCGATTTTAAGGGCGATCAGATATTTCAGGTGGCACCATGTGTGAAATGTGCGCGTAGATGGGTAACATCAACGTTTCTTATGATCGTCATGGCGACAATGGTCCGTGCGGTATGGGGCACCTGATACCAACCGAGTCGGCAGACGGTTCAGCAGCAACTCGACTCCTTCAAGCCAAGTCTAAGAAGCCATATTCTGAAGAAATTAGTTACAATATCTAAAACTCCTCTGACCTACACGCCCACATCTGGCCTGTTAAGCCAAAAAAAGGCTCCTGGACCCCCTCGAACGAATGTCAACGCGATGTTGATTCACCAACCGACCCAGCGTAAGAGAGGCCACCACTGCGAGCAAAAAAGAAGCTGGCGCTTTTCGCCACACCCTGCCTATTCTTCGTGGACAGAAGGTGACATTCGTCACGTGCAGTGCACCATCTACCTGCACCATAACCCTGTGATATGGTTCAAAAGCGAAATCGACTTTGTCTCGCTTTTGAAGAATTTTGAGTTTGCAGGCGGTCCATCCTCAGTCGATGCCAAGCAAGTCTGTACGGAAGCGGATCTTAGCTCCGTCATGCTGTCGGTAGCCATGGCTGTTCACTCTCCCTCACACCTGCGCGTTCGACTTGCAGTAAGCTGATGACTCGCTAAGGCCCAAAAATACCCCGCGTTGAGGGCAGCAGGGTGGATTACTTTTCCGGTAGACAATTACAGTCTAGGCACTGTCTGGCAATAGACTTCTCCGCGCGCATTACGACTAGAGTAGTGTCGAGAGGACCCTCGTCTACCCAGACCCCGTCTGCAGGGGGTTCAGCTTCAGTTAGGCACTCTCTACCACTCCAGTTGTATTTATTCGGACGCCAGCAAAGAACTAGCCAAGTGGCCTGTCTGTTTTCTTATAACACGGCTACTGCAGAGTAGTGCTAACTCGACACAAGCGCACTGTTGTAAGTGCGCACTAGAAGCCTAGTGCAGCTAGCTGCGAAGGCTCAGAGTGCTTACAGGGTGCAACAACGCATATCATAGCTCGCTCTCTCTTCCGGAATCGGAACCTTCAGGGCCATAGAAGGGGAAGAAGACGATCCCCTTGAAAGGAACTTTATAACTCTCTACTAAGTCTGCATTGCGTCTGCAATTGGCTCCTTACAAAGACGCTAGATGCGGAGGTCCACTATCGCAAACGGCTCTGTCGCAACTGTGCTCTTGGAGGAGAGCGAATACTGCTCCTGCGGGCTATCTAATGAAGTTGCGAATAGAATTCCAAAGATAGCATATCAACAAGAAAGAGTCAACCCACTCGACAACCGACACGAGCCCAGATCATGCCGCTCGCTACACGGGAAGCGTAGCCTGCAGTCTACGAAGGGAAGTGGTGCCGCTGTTCAGCCAGTCTCACAGCCGACGCCTTGGCATCCAGGAACAAAGCGTCGACGTCGGCCACATCGTTCGGCTCAACAATTTCAGACCCCCGAGCCTCTGCTGCAAGACGGCATGGCTCAAGCAACTGGAGTGCAAACCGCAGGGAGGTGTGCGCACTGATTTCGCCCAGCGCCTCAAGCGCCGCAGGCGAAAGCGCTACACGTTCTACTGCAGCACGCAACTGGATGACTTGGACAACCTGCGGGCAGCAAAGCGCAGAAGAATCGGAACGGCTTGCAACGGGATTAGCCCCTACGTGCTGCGGACACGTACAAACCGCGGATTGCCGCATTCAAGAAGAGGCATTCTAGGAAAGAGGCATGGCAGCGTCTTATGTTAAATACTCGGGTGACCGCACTTCGGAAACTGTGTATGGTTGCGTCTTTATAATCAGCAAGCGGTCCAAAAGATCGACGGGCATGCCATGCGGCTCTACAGAATCCGTGCCTCGGACCGTGCTGACCTGAACAGCGAAAGAGAACATACAAATATTGCCGTTAGTGGAAAAACTGAAAAAGGCTAGTGGAAGAGCTCGTGCACTTCAAGCACAGAGCGCTGGCAGCTTCAGCATTCACACACAGCCAAAGACACCTGAAGGCTCTCTAACTCCTCGCGGCGGTGCCGTCCCTAAAGGACAACAAGGGATCTACTTCGCACAAAGCAACGCAAAGCCTGGTGCACGATCCAGGTAGAGAGGGCGCCGCTTACACCTCGGTTCGTTGCGAAGACGATGATCGGGCTCATGGGCGATTCCAGAACACGATTCAGGAAAGAGAAGCATTCGACATCAAGCATGTGGACCTGCATGGAAGAGCTTTCAAAGCAAAAAGTCTGCTATTAAATCTTTAACGAGGCGCAACGCAAAGTAAAGCCTCAATGACCCAGCGAGCGAAAAAGCCGCATGCAAAGTGAGTCCAGCAATACGGCGGCCCGCCGTTTCGAGTCATCTAATGACACAAGGAAGGTTTTTTTTTTGGATACATTGCAAAAACCGCGAAACTGGCCGCTCACTTCGTCAATGAATAGCACTCCTGGAATAAGCTGCGCCACCCCTTGCTCAATATATTTGTTCACAGTCTTGTTAATCTCCTCGCGAAGCCGCTCTGTGATTTCGGTCTTGCGCGGTTTCATGTACGCCCCCATCATGGAGATGACATCTGTGCCGCCCTGCGTTGCGTGTCAAAGGCGCGCACACACCGCGTGGCCTGCCTAGTTTTTGCATTGATCGGTGATTACGAATCTCATCACCAAGGATAGCTGGATCTATTCAATTTCCATGACGCAAGTCAGCATAGTCCGTCTACACTACGACCAGCACCACGTCACTAGGTAGTGTTCCAGAGAATGCAATGAAAGGCCAGGTCTTAAACTCCGTTGCAGAGCTCCATGCACACACCACCTTTTCGGCAGTAAGGGCGCTACACGCGGCACAGGCGTCCGAGGGAGCACACCCTCCAGGGTGCATAAGAAACACCTCCCGCAAGGAAAAAAAAGGCAGCTGCGTACCTGGGGCTTTGCGTTGGCCACATCTAGATCATGCAGTGAGACCGTCTGCACGACTTCCTTCTTCTTCTCAACATGGCCCTTGGGAACGGGAACGAAGTCCTCCGCCTCGAGGTCAAACTCCGTAGCATACGCATCACTCCGGCCTACCCGCTTGACTATGCCTGCAGCGCATGCGCAGAAAAAGATCGCCGCACGAAGCTGTGGAGGCAGCGCGCGTCTCGCCGAGGCTCTGGGGCGCCCAAATAGCAAAGCAAGACGCTCAAGCAGGGCATGCCATTTTCGCTGTACCTGTGTTCGCCTCGATGAAGACGACGTCTCCCACACGAACCTTCTCCTTCTGAAGAGCATCGTGGAGCTGCGGCGCAAGGCGGAGAGTCTTCATTCCCTTTGCGGTCTTGAGTGTCAGCATCACTGCGCTAATGCATTTTCCTGCACACACATCGCGTGGGCACAGCAGCAGGATCAAAGGAGAGGCTCACAGTCGCGAAAAACGCCTGTCCCTAGCGTCTAGCCTCACCCCCGTCCAGCCCCTCTCCCCCATTTCCAAAAAGGTCGGAAACAGCTTCAACCTCCGTTGGACGGCGTTTCATAGAGCAGCGTGCAAAGGCCACCCAACACGCCTGCACGGCTGCTGGCAAAAAGCGGTCAGTCAGATGGACCCTCCTACACAGAACTCAGCACCGCTGCTGCCTGCGCTTCTCTTCTGCCCAATTGCAAAATTGAACGTACCAAAACCACCATGGGGATTCTCTGCTTCCTCAGCTGCAAGCTGCACAACTTCTCCCTCGAAAACTTCCTTCACCTCGCGAATGCGCAGACCCAGTGCTCTTCTGCAGTGCTCCAGCAGCACCTCCGTCTTCTTGACTTCGCTGCTATACACCGCAGAGGCAGCCAAGGGAACAAAAGGAACGCCACTGCCGAGCTGGCCACAAATGCCCATCGCCAACGCAGTCTTGCCAGAGCTGACAGGACCGGCGAGGAGCAACGCTTGACCTGCACACACATGCGATCATGCATGCACCTGCCTTCTTGATCTTCGCTCAGCAGCAGTGTGCGCCATGAGCGCAGACACCCAATAGGCTGTTGTTGTTGTTCAACTTTTGTTGATGAATCTTTGCTGTTCAACTTTTGTTGATGAATCTTTGCTGTTCAATTTTCGTTGATGAATTACTGTTGATGAATTATTGTTGATGAATTATTGTTGATGAATTATTGTTGATGAAATTATTGTTCATGAACTACTGGTGTTATAACATTGGTGTTGAATTATTGGTGTTGAATTATTGGTGTTGAATTGTTGGTGTTGAATTATTGGTGTTGAATTGTTGCCGTTCATGTGTGGGGAGGAAGGGAAGGCAGCACGGACGCGGACCTGCAAGCTTTCGCGCCTTGATGAGGTCGACAATAATGCCAGCTGCCTCTCGAGCCTCCACCTGACCCACCATCCCCCCTGCCTGAGGGAGTGCAGTCCCATCTGCTGCCAAGCCAAGAGAACGGATGTGGCTGTGCGCTGCCACTCGTTGTTGCTGTTGCCGCGTGAGTCCGGTAGCCGACACCTTCACTCCATCGCTGCAAAATCAGTGCGCAGCAGGGGAGGCACGCAGAGAGGAGGCTTTTCGAAAATTAACCGGCGAAGCGAGGCCTTGCAACAGGAAGCGGCCAAAGGCGGCTGGGCTGCTTCCTGGGCAGATCTTCGAAGGAACCGCATGCCAAAGGCTGCTCGCCACTCACCTGGCCAGAGGCTCTCCTGGAGCTGACGGCTTAGCCTCGGCTTTCATTCTCCAAGCACAGGTTCACCGACGCTGGCTTGTGACGGCAGAGTTCGCTGCAGTGTTAGAGGCGTTGCCCTCCTGCAGGCTGGCTCTGCTCTGCGCCTAAATACAAAGGCGCGTGGCAACGCACTCACTCCGCCGGAATGAAGTTCTCAGCAACGCGAAACGCTGAGCGGGACGAAGGATGAAGCGGAGGCGCAGAAAAGACAGGGGGCGTGCTCATGCAGCCCGTTCGAAGCTCTGGAGGTGACTGCTTTTCCCCAGTTTGCTTGTGCCCATGAAGAAGCTTTTTGGCAGTACAGAAGCTCTCTATGGGAAAACCCACCCCTCCAGGAGGAGGCCTGCATGCGCTCCAGAAAGCCCCAACCGACCCTACGCGCCTGACCATCGAGCCTGGCCTCCGTTTTGAGGCTTCTTTAAGGGCCTTCGAACCGCCCGCGTGTTTTCCGCAAGAGATGTTTCTCGCCGACCAACTAATTTCAAAGGCAAAGCGGCGAAAACACGGCCCCGCATGCCCCCTCAACACGCTGCGCTCCCGAACGCCGTGCTGGAAGCTGCCTACGGGGGGTCTTCGCCTTTGTTTCAGGCCCTAAAAGGAGCTACCTGACGCGAAACGGCAAGGCGCTAAGTCTGTGGCCGCTGTTTCACGACGGCAGTCTGCTTCTGGGGGGTTCAGACGAGGGAGATCCCGGGAAACAAGGAACAGTTTATGGGGCCGAGCAACGCCCTGTCACGCGTTTTTCTTTTGAGTCTTATTCTATCTGGCATCGGTAAAAAATTTAGTGGAGGATTGTACCGCGCGTGCTTGGTGTGTGTACTGTGGCGTAGCGTCAGCTGGCTCGGTACCGAAGACGCAGTGGCGTGGTGTGAGGACGAGGACGTCCTAGAAGCTCTGTGTAACTAGCTCCGAAGGCTCCGAGTTCCTTGAGGGTGCAGCTACACACACGCCAGCTGTCGCTCCCCTCTCGTAGCGGAAATCCAAGGGGCGCAAACGGGGCAAGGGGGGATGTCCTCTAAAAAATGCGCAGTAGCTCCACACAAGAAGGCGGGAGCTCCTCTTCTTAGAAGAGCAATAGCTTTAGATCATGTTAGGATTAAGGCTGCAGTCGCCTATCTCCCTACAGAGACAGTCGCAACAATGGGCCTTACGCCCTGCGACCCTTTGTCCCTCAGCTTCTCAATCTCCCCGCACACTAAGCCACAGTGGAGGCAGTGTCTCTCGAGGATGTGAGAATACGTTTCCTGGTTCCATCGACTGCGTGCTGAGACGGCTACTGCTCCAAATGATGAATGGACAACGTGACAAGAAAGGCCGCTATCTGTCAGCGCAGGTTTCACTTCCGTTTCTTGGGTCAAACGTGTGTAGTCTTTCGAGCAGACTGTGTGGGGCGCTCTTCTGCATTCGTATATAGCAGTTACGCGTGAGGACCTGCTTTGCGTATTGCCCGAACCTGCATGCATGCATTCGGTCGTCTCCCTGATTTCAGTATAGAGAGGGTTTAGAAAGTTCGATCCCCTAACGAATGCATGCAGCGCAACCAAGCTGTTTCTGCCGACTCGCGAACAGGAAAGCGGCAGAACGTGCGTGCTCCTGTCGTACTCGCCAGGCTTATAGGGAGGGGACCCCCCAAGTTGCGTGCAGTAACTGTGTTGGTGTAGTGTGGACCTTCAAACTTTTCCACCTTTTCGACCTCTTCACGACGGTCTTAAGGACCTCCCGAATTTCAGAACGTGTTTCAGCCGCCCTTGCGGAAATCCCGAGCCAAAATTTTCCCCCAAAGTGTGCCCCTCGTCGGCCGCAACATGCCACACGTATGGAGATCCGCATGCTGCCCCCGTTTCACTCGCCTACACACTACGAGTAGGCAACTGCTAGCAGCTAACTGCAGTGCACTGGAGGCCAGTGACAAGGCCTGTCGGTCGCCCAACGCGAAGATCGCTCAGCACTGCAGGCCGAAGCAGTAGCACGAATTCTCCGCACGGCTTCACTCGATGCCTGCCCTCTCATGGCCGCTTCGTGCGGCTCTGTTGACACGCGCACAGACTTGACACGGAATTAGAGGACTCGTCGGCTCGAGCCTACAGTTCCACCCACTGCACCCCGCCACCCTTCATCATGGCAACATCGGACGCGCTCGCTAAACGCGTCGAAGGCAGCTAGCGCACTATTACTCCACGCGGCTAGCAGCGGTGAGGCCGATGCTGGTTCCATTCTTTGGAGCAGCCAAGGTCGTTCTCACCGCACTGCCCTCGCTTGCTGCGCACCCCGCAGATCGCACCGAGAGCCCAAAGAGAAAAAAGGCGTTTTTGTACGCAACAACGCATGCAGGTAGCTGGGCCCGGGAATGGCAAGGGGTCAGCTGCCGCGTATCGCTTTACTGGCGTTGCACAAGTTGGTGGAGAGGCGCTCTCTACGGGTGCAGCTCGCTGGCGTGCGTGGTGCGCGTGATGTCGGCGCTGTACGTGTCTCGAACAAATCGAAATATCGAGAACCACTCCTCCAACGAACGCGCATTCACTGTCTCCCCGTAGATCACAAAACTTGACCGCGGCTGCATAAAGTACCGAGGATCCGCCTGCTGAAACCACGTGGGATATCTGCAGCAGCCACAGGCATGCCACAAACACGCGCCCTTGACGGAAAGCCTCAATATGAGAGCTGATGCACGCAAAAGCTCAGCTGCGAAAGGAGAACACTGGAAGACAGGAGGGGGAACCAGCAGCAGCTCAAAGCAACGGCCCTTTGGCCGCGGTACCTCGTTGGGTTGCAGCGCATAAGCCATGGCAACATGCCAAAGCCAATGCGTCTGTACTGATCCGGAACCTGCAACAATATAATCGCATGCATCTGCACGGAGAAAGCTGAGGCGAGCCTTTGGTGCTCTGCTTGGGGGCGCAGACACGTACGTGTGGTGGCAGATGACCAAACGAAAAACGCAGCAAAAAAGCAAAAGCCGCTGCTGAGAGGTCCCCTGACCCTTCAGAGAAAGTCGCCCCCACCAACGGGCTTGAGTACTCGAGCCGTTTATGTGGCAAAGCGTGTTGCGCGATTTTGCGTCTGGAGAGAGAGGCTTCTTCTGGAGAGCCCTCTGATTCCCACACGGCCTTGATGCAGAAGCTGCTGCTGCTACTGCAGCTGCTCACGGTGCAGGGTGTGAACTTCACTACCCCCCGCGCAAAAGAAGCGTCCTAGCGCAGTCTCCAGGCTGACATAGCATATTTTTGCTGCGTATCGCCATTAAGGCGTTGCATCACCAGCGTGCATCATCACTTGGTCAAGGCAAAACATGTGCTGCTCGTTAACCTGAATATCTCGATCATGCGGTAAAAGCGTTCGAAGGCACCCTTGCCACCCTGCCTGAAGTGGCCCCACTTACGTCTTTCGCGTTGACACAGAGCGACCCCACTTGTCTGTAGTCTCTGAAATCCTTCCACGCCGCCACTTGTGCCTGTAAAAGGCCACCAACGGGAGAAGGAAGAATCCCTCGCTGGGCAAGCAGCGGGGTGTACAGACTCCACGGCTCGTAACCGGGCTTGAGGTCGTCCGAGGGGACCTTGGCGTACAGAAACGGAAGATAGGACGTGTCTGTACAGCGCAAGCAGCCGCCGAAGCGCTCGCATGAGAAGAGGCTCTCGTAGGCTTTCGCGAGTACAACAGCGCATGCACAACAGCGCATGCACAACAGCGCATGCACAACAGCGCATGCACTGCCGCCAGAGCCAACCTAGAAGCTGCAGGCCGGTTAGCCGCCCTGAATGTGCACAGGAAACGTGCCTGAAAGATGCCATCCTCCATACAAGTACAACTGGGGATTCAGATCCGATTGGCAATGCCGCACGTATGCGTGCTCAGTATACACAAAGTCGGTCTTTTTCTCGAGGGGCCGAAGCGACTTGTATGGCTGTTAGGGCATAGCACAGCTTGCAGGCTTCATGACGCAGTGAGACACGACACCCGCTAGCTTCGCCCTTGAAAGCATGCAAAAGAAGAGGCCTGTGCTTCTCTTGTAAACGGAAGCGCTGGCCCTTGAAGAAGCAGCACACGGGATGTTTACAAGACTCGTTTGCAAACATCGTGCCCCTTCTGTCTCGCTCTTTATCTCTTGGAGCCCCTGCAGCGAGGCTCATGCAACCCAGCACTGCGTGCGCGCAACTGGAGGCTTTACTTACGACTGCGTCAACGAGAGGACCGATGGCGTTAGGAAAAGGCGTTTCGCTGATCCTCGACATGACTTGAAAGTCTTTGAGAGCCATCGCATCCACCCGGCCAGGATAGTGCACGACGACCCAGCCAAACTGCCGTTGCGGGAAGGTTTCGCAGTATTTCAAGTGACGCAGCCGATCGCCTGCATGCGCATAGCAGTTGTCGTTCAGCAGCGTGTGCCTGCGTTTCTTCATGACAAGCCGGCAGGCGGCGCATGCACTTGAATTCGACCATGCAGGAGCCGTTGCGTTCACATGCGTTCAAGTCAGCGAGTCAGCTGCTGCCCCAAGCAGCCCACCGCATGAAGGGACAAAAGCGCATCATGCGGGATAGTGGTTTCCTGAGTGTTTGCTTGCGCGATCCCCCGAAAAAAACTGCCGTGCAAGTCACTCCCTTCTTTCTCCCCTCTCCTCCCATATGCGCTCCGGCCGCCCAGCCACGCTCCCTACCCATGACTATCTCATCGACGTCGCTGACAAGCACGAGGTCGGTGTCTTCAAGAAATCCTGGTGCGATATGCGCATTGCCGTAGTTGTTCACGCCGGCATTGATTTGCGCAAGCATGTGCAGCATCGAGTCACGTTGAAACATCTCGTATTCCCAGCACTTGTCCTCATCTCCCAGAAGCCGCCGACTGCAGCGCTGTGCCACGGGGAGAGACGCCTCGAAGGGCTGCACCAGATGAATGATCTTGTCGGAAAACGCTGCATAGCGATCCTTGTTTCTGTCGAAAAACAGAGGCTTCTGAAACACCCCCAACGTGTGATGGTGGGCCTCCGCAACGACGAAATAATCAACAGAATGATACAGCTCGTGCCAGCGAATTTCCAAGAGGTCTAGGTCATAGCTGCCGAGCAACCCGCAAGCAGGCACACAGTCCACCAGCATGAAGCAAACAAAACAACAAACTTCCCTTCCCAGGGCGCGCAGAACGCTGCTGCATGCCTGCTCCTGCGTGCTCGCAGGATCCTAGAGCCTGCATGTACAGACAGCGGAGTCGGCCGCGTGTCGCTCACCCTAGGATCACGGCATCCACGATTTTGATGGGCTTGGATCTCGGCTCTCCCGTGAAGAATCCGTAGTGCACTTCGCGCGCTCGCCTGCAGTACTCCTCTGCAGGCACATAGTTGTTATGGTCGGTGGGATTCGACAGGGGACTGGAAGGCGCAAGCGGTTGGCGGGAGCTGCTGCGAGCGCCTCTCGGAGATTGTTTCCCCCCGTCAAGGTCGAAGGGCCCCTCAGGAGCAGCGCCCTCGCAAACAGACGGCGTTGCGCCTTCTGCCGACTCCCGTCGGTGGGGAACGCTCTCCCCGAATCGCAGTTTCCACTGCTCGCGAGGCAGCGGCACTACCCAATAGGAGTCTGGAGGACGGCAGGAAGAGTCGATGGCAACGAGCGGCTCCAGCTCAAGGTAGGGGCTCATGAGCGCTAACATAGCGTACATGTCTTGGCGATACAACATGTGCATATACGGATTGAGCGGCCACCACACAGTCAGCGGCTTTCTTGCGAATTCGCTCATGTGGTACTGCCAGCGCACTTTGCCCCACCATCGGTGCAGTCGCAGAGGCACGAGCTGCAGCGCAGTCTCTAAGGAAGGCGTGCAAGCTGCGTCGCCGTGCGAAGCGGCCGACTCCTCTTCGGCTTCTCTGCGGAAGTTCCCGCAGAGTCGCTGCACGTCTCCGAGAAATCTACTCGGCAGAAACATCTGCGTTTCGAGACGGTACGCCTGCGGGGGCGTTTCTTTCGAGGAGGCGAACGCAGCCTTGTGCCGCTGCTTACATGTTGCATAGAGGAACGCTGCGGTGGAAAGTTCGGGGGATAAGTCGAGCGCTGGCGTAGCCGCGAACCCACTGCCAGAGTCGCTACTTTCGAGGTAAAACGGCGTGTCCTCTAGCCGGAGGAGGTGCTGTCGCAGCTCCAGCCGCTCCCGAGCGGTGCTTCGAGCAAAGCGAAACACCCAATGGACTGAGTGCGGAGGCGCGCCAACGACCCTTTTGCCTCCCCCCCCGCCGATCACATTGGCTAGCTGCGGGTGGTTCTGCAGGAGCGCGTCTGCTTGCTGCAGCACCAATGACGGAGGCCGAACAAGCTCCCCGCTCTCAGGCGTAGTGCACAGGTCATCGTCAACTTCGTACCGAAACAAGCCGTACCCCGTATCTAGGAAACGGTTTTTCAAGCTGTACTCCTTGGGCGAGCTCAGGTGGATCAAAAACAGCCGCAACAGAAACTGGAGCAACACTAACAGTGGAAGAAGCAGCAATACACCGCGCCACCGCATGGCGATATTCGGCTGGGCAACGGAACTCGCGTTCTTCTATATCCCCAGACAGCGCGGTGTCTTCGCCAAAGCCGCTTGCGGGTGCTGCAGACCTGTTTACGAGGGAGCGCCTCGAATGTGCATGTAGGCGGAGCCCGAAATACGACAGGCTTAAACTCTTTCACAGAATTTTGGCCTGGAGGAGGCTGCCTGCTTGCGGAACATGCCGATCACTCTGTGCACAGGGCATGTCTCATCGTACTACCTTTAGCCGACGCATGAAACGGGCTCCCTGAATACCTCAGAAGCGCTCAATAGGAGCTCCCCAACGCCATTTTACGATGAACAAAAAACATATATACAGTTAAATTTGGGGTAATGACTGTTAGAGAATGCGCAGTCCCGCATGCAACTTTGCGCATCGCGCCCAGATCTACGCGAGCCGACCCAAGCATGCTTTGTCCATACGGTGGTACCTTTGTTTGCACAGGGCTACCAATGTGTGTATTACAATATATTCGGAGCTAGCAATTTCCTTGAGGCCTTGGGCATGGCTTCTGCATCGCTGGTGAGGACGGGGTGGCGCGGTGCACACATTCAACTGAGGAATAATCGAAAAGGGTGCCATGCTCGCCGAATGTGTTCCAAAGAGTAGATGTACAGACGCAAGAGATAGGAAGCTCCCTTTTAACAACCCATGCGAACTGCGCCCTCTTGAAAGTTATTGCAAGGATGGTGAAGGGCAGCTCACTGTCATGTGCTCCGGCCAGGTGAGCATATGGTGTTATCGCTGAGCTGCTGTTTGAACATTTATGCTTGCTCATTTAATTCAAGTAGACAATAATACAGACGCTTTCCCAAAGAGTATCGTGGTGCTTTGAAAACCAGGTGTCGCAGTCCGTCTGCGCACTCAACTGGGGACAAGGACGCAACGCATCCAGGGGCGCAAATGACGAAGGAATCAGCCTCCAGGCAACTTACCTGTAGTCATTGCCATGAGCTTTGCGCGTTTTAATGTACTTTGACCCAATTCAAGAAGGCTACGCCGTCAACACTTGCACTGCAGCACAACAAAATTGGCTTCCTGACGCGTACGAGCCGCTCAGACCCTCCTCGCCTGCAGAAGCGAGCCACTTTTTGGTTCGCGACGCCCAAAATTTCTTGTGGACCTCGGCAACAGACTGGCTCGGATACCGTATGAATTCTCCGGACCTACTGTTCTTGCATACGGTATTCATGATGCCTCACAGTTACTTGAATGCTTCGACATAACAAGGGCGCATGAACACCTAACACAACCAAGGTAGTTAAGCTCGCTTTCTCCAAGAGAACTGGTGTTGCAACAATCTTTGTAGCGGGCAACCCCCTAATACTCGAGTCATATCTCGCCAAAAAGTACTCTGGAAAAGTACTTACTGCTCGGTTTGTCTGTTCGTCTATCTGATTTGCTAAGGTATTCAGCCCCACAGGCGGCCTGATGCTTCACAAACGTGTGAGGCGTACGATTTTTCGTTTACAACGAAGTCCCAAGCATCCAAGCCTTCATGGATTGCTTCTAGCAATGCCTATTGTCTCAAGACTCCTGTGCTGAAGAGCTTTCGTGTCTTATCCGATGCACGCATTCAAAGCTTGATAACTCACACTGTCATGGTCTCAAAGTACACTATAAACTTTATTAAATTATAATAATCTGTGGGTCTATACAAATCTACCTCACCTGTTCTTTCCGCTATCAAGGATCCCCCCACAGCAGCAGATCTGACCAAAAGGAGGAAAAAGCACGGACAGCAGCACAAACTTGCAGTCAAAAATGTGATCTTAGTTAGCGTGCTACTGCAACGAAGCGAAAGAAACAGCTAGGGTGTACGTTGCTGCACTTTCCAACCACTCCGAGCAGGTACAATTTCTTACCATAGCATCCAAGGCAAATGCACACAACATTGCTTCTTATCGCGCTCAGCTACTGCTAACCTGCAGTTGAGAAGATACGCGAACGCCCAAACCAAAGAGTCGATCCTTTGCTGATCCTTTGCTATATACCTAATGTAGTAGAAATCACCTTAGAGTAGCTAAACCTGACAGAAGAGTAGCAGAGTAGCTATCTGGCCGGAAGCTAGAGTGTCGCTTCGGGATGTATGCGAGCCCTGCAGGTGCCTGTCATGATTTCTAGGGTCAGATTTGCTGCCAAAAGTTGACCGTTGGTCAGATTCATCAGCGCAACGCGCACCTTGGCTGTATATCTCTTAATAAATGGTGTTCGTATGCAGGCACCGGACTCAGTACAAACAAAGTAGTATAACATTTAGTACTCTTTAAGGAGCTCTCTTCTTCCCGTGCCTACGCATTTCAGATTTTCACAATAAGGAGGGAGAAGCAGCTACGGTGCGCGTTGCTGCACTCTCCAAGCACTCTGAACATAAACAGTTCGTTACACTTAGTATCTTATGCACACGCACATAACACTGCGACCTCCTGTACCGAGCTACCAGTACTCTGCCCTAAATATGATGGACAAAGAGACCAGCCAAGTAGTCGATTCGTCACGTTTTTATAGACAGATACAATGAACGCAAGTCTAGCTACCCCGCAACATTACCTGTCGCCTTCCCCTTCAACCGGAAGCCCGAACAAGAAAAAAGGATCATTGCCCCAGGGTCCACTTAATTACATCCTACTATGCGTTGTATTCCGTTTGGGCAAAGAAGTTCTCTTTAGAGAGCAACTTTTTGTAGCACTACAAGGCAGTTCTTACTGTTGGGCACTCCCTACTACACTAGTTGTAAATTGAAAGTCAGTCAAGAATTGATCGTCTGATTTGGCTCTTTGTACATACAATAATTGTTGCTGCCTCGAGCCCGTCCAATGCTGTATGAACGTTGTGTACCTGTGTGATTTATGAGGAGCTGCGTGTAAGTTGTCTCAGGGCCGAAAAGCCAGCCAGCGTACACATTAGCTCTCTGCCCCCTTCTTGTGGTGCCCGAACCCAGTAGGGTGAGAACAGAAATGGGGGAACATAATATGGACGAACACGTTATAACTTCAAAGTAAGTGTTGCTTTAGCTTGAAGGCTAAGTGTCTACATAAGGGGACACTTAGCGGAGCGCTAAAGTGTAAATTCATACACAGAAGGCACTTCAGGCGTGTGTCACGAACAACAACGGACAGGAAGGAGTCCAGCCGCCCTACCAAACGTGAGCTGTACCCCAATGGCCAGCCTTGGCCTCTGCCAAAGACGATGGTGCGGACTCGCAAGGAATGAGGTTTTTCGTACGACTTTTCAAAACGCATGAGGCGAAACATTCGACACAAACAGGCGATTGTAGCATTGATGGTTCCCCATGCCCAGGAATTGTAGGCAGCCACACGCAATAAATAGGAAGGATTTGTAAAGAAGAGGCCATTAATCTCGCAGTTATTCGCATTTAAAGGTAGTTCTGGATGCTGTTACTCCAGAGGCCTACAGTCTAGTGACGCAGAACTACGATGTCCACACGACTGAAGTGGCACGTCCACGGAGGAGAGTGAGAAATCTGCATGGGCATCTTAACGACTGGAAAACCCTAGCTAGGGAGAAAAAACGGTCCTAAGTGCACATAGAGATTGCTGGAAGTACTGTTGCAATCTGAGTTGGGGCCAGAGCCAAACAACCCCTAGCAGCTCCCCGCCATGCGCCATGCCACTTTAAGTTGTTTGCAACCGTTTCATATGGACCCTTTTTCATTATGGGGCAAAAACAAAATACGAGTGGCTCTGTTAGTATCCAAAGCAGAACATCCTTTTGGCCATATATGCACCGTGTCAGATCCAGTTCGACCATTTTCCAGGGAGGAGCCCCTCGACGGACGCCGAGTTTGGGCGATCCTTTTCCATTCTTCCGTTATTGCCCAGCTAAGAGTGTTGGCTCATAGCAGATCGCAGCTTCGAAAATGGAGAGCATACCTAGAGGGGAAACAAAGAAGGAAGTCACTTCGTCTGGCATCGCGGAGCGGCGAACCGGAGGACGGCTTTCTGCAGGGTCACAGCCCGTCCAGCCTCGTATTTCAGCCCTAGCAGAGTTGGAGCGCCAGCAAGCGGCGCCTCATTTCAGGAGCCATCGTCAGTACCTCTCGTGGGCTGACCGCCAGCGCCTGGTCGATTCTTCGCTTTCAGGCTTATGGCCTGTGCTTGTGGCCCTTGGAATGCTCTGCATGGTATCAATAAGCCTAACGGGACTTGATAACGCAGCCGATATCCGAAACTCTTTCATGGAAGGCATTGAAGAGCCTTTTGTACCTCATGAGGCGGAGACTCTACTTCAGCAGCACCGCGGTGTGGATGTGCAATCAAGCGATGCAGACTCTGACCGTGAATCTGGACCGCTTCTGTTGTCCAAGAAGCGAGAATTCATGTCACAAGATGAAGGGGGGAAGCTGGTGGACTGGGTTGAGCGTCATATCAGCATCAGCGACAGCCTGTTCACACCCAGAGATTACGATGTACTTATGGAAGAGGCCCCCGAGGATTTACTGCCACTGCAACTCGATGTAGCGAAGCTTGCGAATAAACTCAAGACTAAATCTAGGAAAGTTTCCTCATTAAAAATTTTGCTGCAGCTGGACCTGATTGCGGCTGCACAGTTCATGTTGTTGTGCCGCGTTGTTGCCGCCAAGAGCGACCTTCGCGAGGAGTACATGGAGCGGCTGACAGGAATGCTCAAGCTCTTAGTTAACCGGTTCAGTAAGGAATGGAAGGAGGCTCTCAACATGACGCACTATGTTGCGGATGTGCATGAACGCCTACGATACCAGCGGCTCGTCAGTCACATCGCCACCATTACTGAAGAAACAGCTTTGCACATTATGGCGGAAAATAAGCCCGAAAACAAAGGGTCAGCGGAAGTCAAGGATAATCAGAACTGGAAAACCGTGGCATCACGGCTTGAAATGGAGCGGCTACTAGGGGACGCGCAGTTCCCTGAGCTGCTCGCAGAAGCGCTGAGGGTGGACTAAGGGGGCGGATGTTGGGAAGATATTCGTTGAGGAGTTCAGTCGTTTGTCGTGGCATGTGTATGTGTGAAGTGAGCGGAATTTCCCACTGCAGGTGTCATGTACAAATGATAGCCAGCAGAACTCTGGGGGAAAGCCGCGATGCGATTGAGTAGGCTGGCAGGATTCACCCCATCGAGAAATGTGCCTAGAGGTACTCTGCCCCCGCGATATCACGGCGTGAGCATCCCTTTTGCTGTTCTCGGAACAAGAGAGCACTGGCATAGTGCGTGACGAAGTGCTTTTTATACAAGTGGTGGCTACAGCTGCTGTGGCCGCATGCGATCCCAGAAGATACAGGCGACTTGTCGTAGCGGTGCCTCCAGGCTGCCCGCTTCTACTTGAATTACGCAGATCAGTGGATGTCGAACCATCAGGACACAATGCTTAAGGATGCTTGCTAAATGATTGTTACTTTCTTTGCTGTCCTCGCCGTAACTGCACACCTTCGCCCCCTTGGGCCCCATATGAATGCAGCGACTCTATGCGTTGTGCCAATCTCAGCACACACGTGGGAGGGGCCTAGAGCCTGCTTACCGTTTGATAAGCAGTGTAGAGTGTGCGTGTGGCCTCTCGTTACAATAGAGGATACAGCCCAGGGGCTTTGGGAGGTCGTGGACACAATCCAAAGCGGGGAGTGATATTGTCTTCTGTTGGAGCAGTCTATCGAAGCGGACGTGGGATTGTATGATCCTAACTTCTACCCATCACGTTCCCAAGGGACCTAAACTTGGCGCTTGTAGTAAGGACGTATGTGCTTCCCGTTTGTCACTTCGTTTACTCTGCTTTTATGACCTCAGCAGTTCCCAAAGAGGTTTAAGCAGCTTCGTTCACCTTGCGCAATCGCTCGTAATACCCACATGCGCGGAATCCTCGAAGCCGTGATGACTGCAGTCCTTTGAAACTGGTTCTTTCCCTCCCCGACTCCCATCGTTTTTCTAACCCTCTTGTTCGCTTATGCAACATCGCGTAGATACATGGCTTTCAGCAAAAGGATGGAGAACGCCAGTGCTATGGCTGTGGTAGTATAGTTCCTCGAGCAGCCAAACTGACACACGTATTGCCTCTCTTTAAGGCTAGAGTCATGGGTAGTACAGAGAGGAAGGCTCGGTAGGTGGAACCGGTTTTTTATTTAGTTGGCGGCGGGGGTCGATGCTGTACGATGGATCTAGGACGGGTGTTCTGGGTTTAGGCTTTTCTGTGGCTTTTTCAGTTCCAGTACTTGCAGAACTTCAGCTTATTTCTCTGCCTCTGAGCTGCTTTTGACTTAACTGAAGATGGTGTGGGGAGCTTTATTTGTTTCTCTCCGCCCACAAGGGGGAGCGAGCAATATGCGGCCTTCTGCAGCAGCAGCTCCTTGGTCCGTCAAGCAATTATAGAAAAATGGTTGTCTATCGCCTGTCCACCAACAATCAGCGTGTGATTTAGAAAGCTTGCGACTCCTGCGCCTGGTAGTCGAGGTAACCACCTAGAACAATGGCATTTCGTGCGAGCGAAAGATAAACAGAAACGGCTTTGGAAAGCCGGAAGACCAAAGGACCATTTCTTCAGCGCAATCTTTATCAGCTCTGGATTTCAAAATGCGGAATATTTACAGCAATTTTAGCCGAAGCTCTAGCCCGTGTTGTCGTGCAGCATGACTGCGGCGCTGCCACCGCGGTCAGGGCTCTACACAACGCCTGTGAGGCAGCACATACTTCGTCGCATTCCCTGTGCAACACTGGCTTACTTTTGATTCTTTCACTTAGTTATTTCCCATAATATATTGGCGCAATATTCGGCTTGAGTGACGCAGCCTCCTTCATTGTTCATCTCATCCGACACTCCGCTCCGTCCACGGCGATACAAGCGCAACACTGTCCACCGTCTAAAAAGCAAGCCCATCGTATTCTTCTGGCATTCCCTCAATAGAAGATGGCGCCTCTGAGATGGAGTTCTGCCTTGCTGCTCCTGATAGCCGCAGGAAAGTTTGCGCATTCTGAGGAGGAGCCGTCGGTGGAAGATATTGTGAGGCATCGGCTATTGACTGGTTTCAAGGAAGGATGTGATGCAGAAGCAAGTACTGTAAGAAGCCTTCAGAGCGCAGTGAAGACAGCATATGGAGATATGCGCAAGCGGGAGGGCAGATCCCCGCTGTCCGAAGACTCGTAAGACTCTGGCTGTATGCAGACATCGCAGTGCTCACAGTGCTCATGCTAGGAGGCACTCCGACACAGCACCGAGCCAGTCAGCTGACTGCTTACTTGGCAGACAGCTACGAGGCATATGGATTAGGTCTATCGCCGTTTTATGCCTGCGCCGTTGGGTTGTTCCGACTGTTCAACTTGTTTGTGCAGGCTGTACACGGAGGTTCAGGAAACCTTTGCACAGGACAACTCGGCTTACACGCAGAAGCTGATGACCTTCCGAGTGCGCAAGCATTCTGAAGCTGGAGATGGGCAGCTGTTGGGGACCTTAGCGGAGGAAGGAGCCGAAGATAAGTGCTCAGTCGTGCGGCTACACCTTAAGAAGGTGGGCGTTAGTGTTCTTTCCTTGGCGGAGTGCCCCATGGTGGCTTCCGACATGGACGTCGCCGTTTCAGCATTTGAAGATGACGACTGTACATCCTTCGTGGAGCGTGATGCTGTCGTGCACCTTTACCCCACGTTTGAAGGGCCTCCCCACCCTGAACAGGCACAGGTAGGACAGCTTGAAAGTGGCACCCGTGGCATTCAGCCATGACCGATATATACATACATATATATGTACTGCGAAAACTAGCCATCCTTGAGAGCTTTCGCGTCTTGTCTGAACTTACACACGCCGGTCGAGACCTTCCCACGATCTCAGCACTCGTGGGGTCTTCTCGAATAAATCGTGCGCCTAGTCGAGCGTATTGCTGTTGGTTGTGACAAGATAATAAGCCGCCTTCACACTGCCCGACTCCTGCCACCCCCGAGTAGCGGGGAATTCGCCGAATTCGCTGATGAAAATTCGTTCCATTGTGCGCAGCAAACAATCGGGCCTTCCAAAACATTCGACTCTCCTTTGGCGTACTGGCTGGAAGTGACGGGCGTCGACAGAGCCTGGAGTAGACACAGCTGCGTAAGAGATGTCGTTGTAGGGGTCATCGATACTGGGGTGGCCACGTCGCACCCGGATCTGCGATCAAATATGTGGCAAAACGAGTATGAGGTCCCAGGAAACGGTATCGACGACGACCGAAACGGCTACGTCGATGACGTGAATGGATACGATTTTTATTTGAAGCGGCCAGCCGTAACAGACGGCCACGGGCATGGCACTCACGTTGCCGGTATCATCGGTGCAGTTCCTACCACCACTGCCGCCCGCGGGGTGTGCAAGAATGTGAGCATTGCAGGTCTTCGCTTCTTGGACAGTCAAGGCTCTGGTGCGACATCGGATGCGATCGAAGCGATAAACTACGCCATTGAGATGGATTTCCACATGACAAGCAACTCTTGGGGCGGCCCAGATGTCTCAAGTGGACTGCTTCAGGCGATCAAGCGCGCCTCGGCAGTTGACCAGCTCTTCGTTGCCGCTGCTGGAAATAGCGGGAACAACGCAGATACCTTCCCCGAGTATCCTGCTGCTTACAGGGTGGAAAATATAATTTCTGTAGCAGCCACAGATGAATCAGATCGTCTAGCTAATTTCAGCAACTACGGGAAACATGCTGTGCACATTGCTGCCCCTGGTGTTTTCATTTATTCCACATTTCCTCCTGCCACCGCCAAAACACTTTCAGGAACTTCAATGGCTACCCCAGTAATTTCTGGTGTTGCAGCCATGCTATTATCGATCCGTCCAATGGCGGTTTCAGAGGTGAAGGAGTTGCTTTTCGGCACTGCGGAGAGGCCAAGATCGCTCAAAGGTGAGTGGTCAGCCGCTTGTCGTAATTCTATCCACGGCAAAATGAAGAAATTTTAACTGCATCCTACGTGCTTGCAGTGGTTGCTCATTAGGAAGGTCTCTGAGCCCATTACGTGTGTGGGAGCGTGTGCTCTTTGTTACAGATAAGCTGATTACCAACGGAAGGGTTAACGCAGCATTTGCAATGTGTATGGCTGACTTGAAAGGGCAGACAAGCTACGGAGGGAACAAGCAGTCGTTGATTGCACGTCGGCTGAACAGGTTCCACCCTTCGGCCGTAGGATGCTGATCCCAGTTGAAAAGCCTAGAAAATGAAATCCAGTGGTTACAGCATACGTTACGTTTCCCCTTTAATGCCCAGCCCTTTCATGCTAGGGGAGTTCTCCACTGGCAAGCCTCGCACCTTGATAGCCTTTAAAGCTGAATGCCGCTTACGCCGCTCAGCCTGGAATCCGGTGGCATCTGAATTCCTGCTTTCTGCAAGGGAAAGCATGTCTCTAGAGGCACTCTCTTTTGGGGTACTTGTAGGATAATGTGGCCTGTGCATTATCCGACGCGCGTCACTCATTTTGTCAAACAGCATTAACTAACATCATTATTGACTCCTAACCTAGTGGTCATATGCTTGGTGCTAGACCATACAGTACGTGCCCCTTATACAGTTCCGCCTGTAGGGGTTTTTTTGTAGCGTATGCAAGGAGTTCACCGACTACAGCCCACATCCTTTTTTTAAAGTTCGCTCTCCGTAGTCCATAGGCGTACAAACACCCGTTAGATGCATAAGAAGGTCTATGGCTGACGCGACAGAGGTTCACATGTGGTGAACGGAGATACGCTCCTTGCCCACCAGTGCTCACCTTGAGACACATGTGCAAAAGCTGCTAGGATCGGCTCCACGTCTACATGGCTCGGATCCAAATGGAGCCGTATCCAAAGTCTTGGCAGTAAGGTGTGTATGTAGAGGGCCTGTTCGACCGTTTTGAGGCTACTTCCCGCTCCACGAACCATCGGATGTATCGCAGGGCCGTAGAGGCTTGCAAGTAAATCGCTTTACGGTGATTAGCGCATCAGGAATATGGAAATCCTGTATTACACAAAGGCGATAATGTAGATGGATAGCCTGGAGTAATATCAATACAGGTTGGAAATGCAAATTTGCGAGTGTAACCGAGTGCACGTGTGCAATGGGTGCGCCCCACGGTCTACTCTGGGGCGTCCGCGGAAGGGGCCCTGGACCAGTAGGACGTATACGTTGCCATATTCCTTACCTTTGCATTTTCGACCACAAATACTGGTGTTATGAATTTTTGGCACTTCAGATATACTCTTAAAGGCATACGAAACACTGGGTAAGCCACCTTTTTCATTCGCAACGACTGTTGCCCCTGGACAGGTGCTGTCAGGGATGAAATTGGAAAAGCTCTTGCGCTAGATGAAGACCTGGATTACTCTTATAAACTCTCTCAGCTCTTTTCTTTGCATAGCTTTTTATTGTGTGAGCAGATCCCTTGGAAGCTGTATCATGCAGCAGCTGTATGCCTTTCAGTGGCTGTGTCTATTCGTTACTTGCTCACTACTTGCGACTCTACACGTGAGCAACGCACAGCCTGTGGAGAATGCACTTTCCGACCGCCTCTTGGTTTCATTTGGAGAGCAGTGCGACGAGACCGTCTCAGCAGAGCGCGTTCTCAGTTCCCTCCTACTCGGGCAGGCCCGCAGGCAGCACCAGGCTGGCATCAAGCAGTAAGATTCCCTCCAAATACGATGCATACATGAACATATATTCCAAAGACACGGCATTAATCACCACAAGGATGAGTCATATTCATTAGGCACCTAGTTGCGCCCTCGGTAGCCGTGCCTTTGGCTGACAAAAGTGCGTGACCCTTGCACACCAAAGTACCAGTGCAAAAACGGACGGACTTGGTTGGCCATGGTGGATTTGGTTTGCAGAGAAGAAGGCGTACTGGCAACGGAAAGAGTCGCAGACTTTGCTGCATATTCTCGGAATATATTCTCGTTGAAGACTCCTTTGTTTGTAGAGGCGAATGCAGAAGAGAGTCCTCGAGACGATTGGAGTGGCTTGACTGAACCTGAACAAGCACACGCATATCAAGGGGTGAAAACACCGAGGATTCCAAGCATTGTCCGCTGCAGCATCTCCCAGACTACCTTAAAACTGGTTGGCGTATCCGTAGTTTCCTTAGAGGCGTGCCCTCTTGTAGAACCTTCCACCTTGAAGAGGGCATTCCAACAGGACTCTTGCATTGTCTCCGTGGAGTATGATTCCATTGTTCGCCTGGAATCCTCTCTGGTAAGCAGATAAAGACCAGACACCCCTAAAAAGTAAGGGTTTCCAGTATCCAGGAGTGGGCCAAGTTCATGTGGATGTCGGGATAATTTGCATCTTTCACTCCTGCATGCCTCAGGACGGCGAATTTGAGGAAAACAAGTCTCAGGCTAAAAAGCCCCCAGCTGAGTACTGGCAAAGCGTTATCGACCTTGAGTCTTCTAAGGCCCTTGGCACGTGTCGGCGGGAAGTCATTATCGGCGTGATTGACTCGGGAGTCGAGTATGCACATCCTGCACTCCAGCCGAACATTTGGGTCAATGCAAACGAGGTGCCTGCTAACGGAGTCGATGATGACAAGAACGGCTACGTTGACGACGTACATGGATACAACTTCCTCGACCGAAATGGAGATCCAAAAGACGACCATGGGCATGGCACTCACGTTGCAGGTATCATAAGTGCGGTGCCCGAAAACACAGGGGTTTCGGGTGTCTGTGGAGAAATTAGCGTCGCAGCGCTACGCTTCATCAATAAACATGGGATAGGAACGGTATCACTGGCGATCGAGGCTCTGAACTATGCTGTTCAAATGGGGTTTCAAGTGTCTTCCAATTCATGGGGAGGGTCTACCTTTTCATACCAGCTTAGACGTGCTATAGCCCGGGCGAACAAAGCGAATCACTTGTTCGTAACTGCGGCTGGCAACAAGGGCATAGCTATCGATTTTGTACCAGAATATCCAGCTGCCCTCAACCTGCCCAACGTCATTACTGTCGCGGCTACTGATGAGCACGACCGGCTTGCAAAGTTCAGCAACTACGGCAGGATGACTGTGCACGTCGCAGCGCCAGGGGTTAATATTCGGAGCACTTACCCTCCAGACACCTCTGCCCGTCTATCGGGGACCTCCATGGCCACCCCGATTGTGGCGGCAGTGAGCGCTCTGCTGTTTTCCGTCAAGCGCACAACGGTCGTCAAGGTCCGGCATGCGATCCTTTCCTCAGTTGACAAGCTGCCCCAGCTGCGGAGTAAGTTTGCATACGAATATCTGCGTGCACCCCACTGGCCCTAAGGAGAGGATGCTCACGGAAATCCCTTTTTAAGCGTGTTTTACCACGTGCATGCAACTCGAAGCAAGCCTCATGCGCTTCGTTTGTCTTGGGATTGCCTCTTTCCGCGCTGCAGGCCGTGTGAAGACTGGGGGAAGAGTGAATGCTGCAAAGGCTTTGAAGCTCTTTTTGGACGACAGCCCCAAGCAAGTTCGCCTTGCTCCATTCCCAGAAACGAGCAAGTTGCATGCGGCTCTGCCGTGTCTGTCGTGGCTGGAGAGGCTACTGCGCTCTACTGCTGCAGAACTGTTTCTCCTAATGCCACAGCATGGGGCCTACCTCTCTCTCGTGGCCGAGTTGCAAGAATCCAAGGCTCTTGTAAAAAGTGACCTCAGAGTACCCGTACAGAGTCTTTCGCGGTGACGGATCCACGGTCTTCGTATTTTGCCTGGCAGTCCGTGGGTTGAGCGCACGTTCCCCCTGGGGGAAGCTGAGTTTTTTCGACGGAAAGCTGCACACACTAGCCACATCTGAGTGCACGACTTTCCGAAGCTACTGTGCTTAGACTGAGGGGTCAAAGTTTCAGTGCGCTTCCCTGCAGACAGCTCCTTTCGCTTCCACTTGGTTTCGTTGAATGCAAGCTGGGAATACAATACCAGCCGTCTGTGGCGCGCGGTCATCCCTACAGTGTTTATAGTATTACCTTTTTTTTACACAGTGAGAGACTACTGCAGCACCGAACAGGGCTTTCTGCCATAGAAAAGTTGAAGGAAACGGCTCCATAGTCCATGTGGGCACGCGAACGACACAAGCTCGAGTGGAGCAGGCCGGCTACCCTATCGGCACAAACCTCCTCTAAGTGACTTCCGCCGCCGATGCGCATCACTTGTTGCGCTGAGAAGCGACTCTATACACCTAGCTCCGAATGCAGCCAGACATATGAGAACGACATGGCATGCGATTGCCACCACCAAGGATTGCACATACACGCCCCAACACCGTCATGGTAGACAGTCATTTCCAAGACACGCACATACGATGCGCCCAAAAAGAGATTCCTGCCCAGCACGAGCATACAACTTTGCCCATCAGAAAGAAAACAGCATTCGCACAGTGGACTACTGGACGCTTATGGAACTGGATCATGCGCACCCCAGAAGGTCCTATTGGCCAATGTGGAATGCAGACGCACTCCGGGGGGTCGGGTCGCACAGTGTGATGTGCGCGCACAGGGTTTTCTCCCATGTGACCACTGCTTCGAAAATACATACTAGTGACAGCTTGTCCGCTCGCGCTCGCCCATTCAACGCTTGTACTAAGGCCTCTCTAGCAATTCTTCGCTGGACATACAGAATTTGCGTGTCTGACGTGCATAGTTCATATTTTGCGCTTCTGCATGAAAGGGCCCGAGTTAATAACGCCAAATTATTTTTTATTTAAGGGCCCCGGTCAATTGCAAGCAAAGCGATAACAGCCTTAATTCATAAAAGTTCCACCAAGGCCAGTAATCGCTCCGTCGAGACTCCAGTCACACGAGCGCATGCACACGTGCGTCTCCGTGTTCACGGTGCGCTCTCCCCTGCTCGTGTTGAGCTTTAGTCGCACTCTTGGTAGCGCCACCGCCAGCTCTCGGCGGGCACTTCACCCGTTGAGGCGACCACAGTGAGTTGATTTGCCAAGGGCGCCGCGTGGAAGCTGGCGCCAGCAAGAGAGCCCGCGAGCGAAACGTTTGACGACTCCGCCAATGCGGCAGAAGTAACTCTCGAGCGCCTGTGTGAGCGGCGCGAAGTGCTCTCTGTGTGGCCCTAGGCCCTAGCCGTCTTTGCGCCTGTTGACTTCATGCATGCGTTTTAAGTTGCTTGGCTTTGATAGGAAGGGAAGGCCTTATGTTCCCAGTTCCTGGATTTCTCGCAAGGCGCTGCTTATGGCCTCGGCGTGCTGCTGCTGCTGCGGGTGCTCCAGACGCAAGCAGAGCCCTAGTACTACCTCCCGTGCCACCAGAAGTGCACTGATCTGCGCTCTGGCCTTACCGTCCGACGTGTGTAGTGACAGTGCGTTCGGCGTCCAGACGACACAGCACAGCCCTTTCCCAAGCACCCACATATCCGTACTCGCCAACGGAAAAGTGCTTTCTGATTTCCTTGTCAGGCATGATATTCCACGCGGCCAGCCACTGCTTCTTCCGCGTATTGAAGCGAACTCCGGGGATGTGGTGGGACGGTTCGTATTCAGCGATTCGCGCTAAGTCTGCGGGTGTGGGGTCTTCTCCGTGAGGCAGCTTTGCAGGGCAGGTAGCTGCTCGGGGGGCGCTTGCGCGTTTGCACCTGGCGGGGAGTGCTTGCGGAGAAGGCTTCCCAAGCAGTGCCTCTTTCGAGTTACCTTCGATCGACCTGCTGACTCCGCGTGTAGAGGGGGCAAGAACTGCCCGGCGTGGACGATGCGATGCACTACAGTCACTCTTGCGATACGGGGAATCAGGCAGCGGCCTCACCACAGGCAGGGGCCCTACTGGCTTAACTACTGCCTTGTGAGAGGACATGATGACCACCTGTCGGGGAGACAGTGTCTGCTGCTGCAACGACGCTGCCTCTTTTTTCCTACAGGCCGAGAGGAAGGGGAGCTGTGGATTTGCAATCGGATAAAAGTTTTGCGGATCGTACGAGGGGCATCCATGCGACATCTGAGCGAGGCCAGTCACGGCCACTGCGAACGAAGACGCAGTCGCACGAGGCTCTTCACTGCCAGCGTGCGAGGAGGCCAACTTCATCGCGAATGAAGAGCGCGCCGTGAGCTGCTGCTTTCTGGACTGTGGGCACGCGCTGCGACGGCGTCGCTGCGGAGAGCTGCCCCCCCCTCTTGGAGGAGGGGCGCCTTGTGCCTGCTCCGGTGCAACCATCAGTTGCCATGCGGACAAGAGAGAGCAGTGGTGAGGCTTGAGCAGCAGGCTTTTGAACCCCTGCGGCGAGCCGTGACGGAGAGGAAGACTGCAGCTTACCCACTGGTGCTGGCTGCTCCCACACTTTCGCTTGGAGGGCATGAGACCTAAAGCGCAACACACGCAGCGTGCACGCAAAGTCCGTAAAACGCTCGAGAGGCTCCTGCAAGGCTAATAGAGAAGGATCTGCAAGGACGCCATGCAAGCGCCCATGCCGGCGAAGTCGTACTGCTAAGCAGTGCAGGAGCATCCATGAGCGCACACACATGTGTCTGGGCTTCCATCATCCTGATGCGCGTCGTATGGAAAAAGCATCCTGCCAAGTGAAAGGTTGCCTTGCACGGTCTCTGCTTCTGGCATCGTCTGCCGTCCAGCTCGCGGAGAAGGAATCAACTTGCAACTTAGACGCCTTGTATGCTTACGCAGGTTGCCAACCGAAGCGCCTAGGGACGGTGAAAGGGGGCTCAGACGCCCACAGCTGTGTGCTGACTACTGACGCGCATGCTCGCTGGACCGCTGAAGCCTTCGATGCGATGCAAGTTTCAAGGCAAAGGGAAGAGCGAACTCTACGGTTGCCAGAAGCACCAAAAAAGGACAGCAACACTGGAAGAGCTGGCCGATTTTCCGTTAGGTTCCCCGCTGCAAAGTACTGCCTGGCAGTCAAAATATTACACTGTTACCTACCTATCCCCTGCGATTCTGCTTCCCGCGAAAGGAAGATCAGGTCCTAGAACAAGCTCGCCACATACGGCGTAGGGAACGCAGCGGCGGACACCATGGAGGAATGCGGCGCACACAGCACCACATGCAGAAATAAAAACAGATGATACAAGCCAAGCACCAATTTAAGCTGCTTCAGGATTTGACACAGGCGCTGATGCAAAGAAATGCCCTTGTTTGCCGCGTCAAAATCACTAGGCGGGATCAGATAACCGGGGGCTGGGAGCTTCGACGATAAATACAGAATGTGCTTCCTACTGATCCTGCCTAAGAAATCCCGCAAAAAACCAATTTTGAAGAGATATTTTGCTTCTGAGAGTATACAGCGGCCAAATGGCCCTCACGCAAGTGACGGGCTGCGCTCAGTACGTTTCCTCGAAGCAGTGCACACTGCAGGTTCCATCTGTAGCCCATGCTTGTGTTTGAAGCCAGAAGTGCTGCACTCACTGGCTTTAGTTGGGAGGCTTTCTTAGCTGTGATCTTGCAAATTTCAAATCGATTTGAAGCCGAAGGTGATACGGTAACTAGCGCGCAACGCACACGCGTTCCCGGGTGACCTCTGGTGACGTGTCTCTAGATATGCTCTCCCTTCCTGAAGTCTTCTCTCTGCCCCCGTTCTCTCCTTGATCTGCTACCGAATAAGGAAGTGTAGTCTTTCCAGTGTAGTACAGCCGCATTGCTGTTTCTGCATATTCCTTGTCCCTGCAGATACCGGCTACGGCACGGGCTGACATGAACCATCCACACGCGCTCTAAGCGTCCATTCTTATGGGTACATGCATGCCATATGTCACTACACAACAAGGCGTCGTCTTTTCTTTGTTATCGTTATTGAGTAGGGGTACTGCCTTGAAGCCCGCCACTCGCTACTGAGCCGTCGCTCCACTGCTCCAGCGCCACCCGGCTGGTAAACAGGTACACTACACACAAGCAGCTGCGGTATGTTTCAGCGAAATAAGATGGTTGCCCCCTTGTCTAATAGCCACTTTGAAATAGGAGCGAGCGTCCACTCAGTGAGCACGTGGCTCCACTAGCGCGCTGGGAAAGAAAGCCCCCTTCCCACTACCACACAAAGCGAAATGTGTCTGAGAACTCCTGCAGCGACACTGCAAGAGGTCGTTGCAGCAAGGCTTTTCAGTTGGCCATGGCCGTGCAGCTCGGACTACATGCGAATGACGGGCGCACTTTGTGTGCGCGGTGCGGAGCATATTCCAGCAGTATGGTAGATGCTTCGTGTGGCAGTGCAGCAATTTCGCGATGTGCTGAACTGTGAAAACGCCTCTGCGCGCCGGCCATGAGGCGCTTCAAGGTAGCAGGAGAAAGAAAAGGGGGCCTTGTGAGATGGATCACATAAATACACGGATATGCAGGACAGAGGGTCTGCCTTCTTATAAGACGCCGCCTACAGCTTCATTCAGCAGCGGTTGCGTTTCGTCCCTTGCCCTGGTTCAGCCTCCAACATCGCTTCCCAGCTAGCCAGAATTGACTCTAGGGTCCTTCTGTTTTTTGAGCGAGGCCAGGCGATCCTCAGCAGCACCTCCTGTCTCAGTCATGTGTAGCGCTACGCCTCGAAAAAGCCCCTGACAGAGCTTGCAGAAGTCCACCACCAACGCTCTGAAGCGAGTAGAGAGGCGCAAACAGACACAGACAGACAGAAAGACAGACACACACACACACACACAGACACACATACATTAATGGAGCTTCTCCCGCATTTCCCCGCTAGGCTTGAAATCAACAAAGGGTGCACACTAGCAGCCGCAGATGATGCCGGCCCCTTCCAAAGAGGTTGAACTACACGGCTGCACTCGTTTACCGCCGTGTCAGCAGTGCCAGAAATCACTACGCCCGCTCGCCAAGAGCCCACTGCTAGCAGCCCACGCTTGTTGGCAGGCTTGCGATCCAGCTGCCCGCTTATCGCGGAGAGGACGAAACCGACAGTCACCCCGAAACGGCATGAAATTGGCAACGAGGGGTCATCACCGTAGAATACACCCGAGCAGAGCTAAATGCAACGTCTTCAGCAGAGACGCGGGCATCTTGCAAAGTGGCAAGAGCGTGAAAACACCACAACCAGAAGAAGGATTCTACCTACCTGTTGAGGGGTCTGCAAAGCTGCAGCCGCCTCGTCTTCCCTCCCCAAGGCCGAGAAGAAACGCGCGCGAGCCTCAGCCCCCTGGACCTTGTACGTGAGTTGAACTGCAGCGCATGCACACCGAAGGAGAGATCTGGCTCGCGGAGAAGCGTCTTTCGCGGCGCATCATGACCACGACCAGCGCTTCCCCTTGCCTCCCTGTAGCCGCGTGCGCCTACGAAACGCTTCCTCTGCAGCCTGCGCGACACACACTTCGCTCGCTGTCAAGCTACAAGTAGCGATCGTGCATGGAAAGTCAAGTTTCTGAGAGAGACTGATTCCTCACGGGCAAGCTCTCTGTTGCCCTTGCGCAAGCAAGCCTCAACAAAGGGCTCGTAGCCTATGGGGGAAGTTCGGTACTTGGCAAACGCTTGCAGCTCATCGAAATGCATGCTGAAGCAAAAGATCAAAGCAAAGACAAGCATGCACAAAAAACCCATTGAAAATGCCTCCTTTCAAGAATTTAAAGCGCAATAAGCCGCAATCGTACTTGCGCAGAGGTTAGACGCCCTCCTCCAAAAGCCACTACCATGAGAAAACGTTGCTCCCAACGAACATGTATACACGTCAAGGTACATGTATACATATCCCTATATTTATATAAATCCCTGCAAAGAAAGGAATACCCAATCTGCAGACACATGCAACAAGTAGTGCGCACCCATCCGCCAAGGCATCAATCTTGCATCGCCAGTAGCGAGCATCTCCTACATTGAACACCTTCTTCAGATTGTCGGCCTCCGCAAACTCCATTCTGCGCGCATGATGCAAGTGTATGCAGACTTACGCGTACACGTATATGTATTTGGATGCCAATAAAAGGTTAGTATATATATATATAGAAATATACATAAATAAATATACATAAATATACACATATAAATATATATGAATAGATATATATATATATGGAAGCCTCGGCAGGCTCGGTAGCCGCATGGACCCCTCGTCTGCAAAAAGTACTCCGCGAAGGAGGGAGGTATGGGGGTAAGGCGGTATGAGGAGTCTCTGGAAGGACGACGCCCTTCCTCAAAGACAGAAGCAACACACCAACCCGTACTTTAAAATGAGCTGCCGGATAGTCTGCATGAGGGAGAGGCCAGCAAACTTGTGGGGAGGTCCTAGCCATCCGCATGTGTTTGCCTTTACCTCCAAGTCACGCTGCAGCAGCGGGAGCACAGACAGCGCAGGCGACAGCACATCGCCTTAAGAGGCGAAAGCAGCCACGTCTCTGCTGCAGCCTCCATCACACCCTGGCCCTCCGTGCTTGCTGCATCCATCGCAGTCTGCCACGCACTAGAGCGGCTGTATGGGATAGCGCAGCCTTCCTGCAGCGTCAGCAGACAGCTGCAGAGAGCGCAAGAAACTGCAGTACATGTCACCTGAATGGAGAGCAACTCAAGACTCGTGAGGGTCTCTGAATGAGCAACCGCAGCAGGCAGCTGCGAATCCTTGACAGACGCGAAAAAGCCACCCGCATATGCCAACCAGCCACGCCGCTGCTCCCACTCCGCTCCCGCAGCAGCTGCTGCTTCCGCAAGGGACAGACAGCAGAGCCCTGCCTCTTGAGCGGCTGCAACGCGCTCGTAGTACTGCTCAAGCTGTAACACGGAACAGACACAAATAGGGAGAGAGAGACACAAATAGAGACACAAATACAGGTACAAATACAGACACAGACACAAGTAGAGAGAGGCGCAAATAGAGACACAAATACAGATACAGTTACAAATACAGAGACAATACAGATACAATACAGACACAAATACAAGTACAGATACAAGTACAGACGCAGACACAAATACAGGTACAAATACAGACACAGACACAAGTAGAGAGAGACGCAAATAGAGACACGAATACAGATACAGTTACAAATACAGAGACAATACAGACACAATACAGACACAAATACAAATACAGACACAATACAGACACAAATACAAGTACAGATACAAGTACAGACGCAGACACAAATACAGGTACAAATACAGACACAGACACAAGTAGAGAGAGACGCAAACAGAGACACAAATACAGACACAGACACAAATAGAGAGAGACACAAATACAGAGACAATACAGATACGATACAAATACAGATACAAGTACAGATACAAGTACAGACGCAGACACAAATACAGATACAAGTACAGACGCAGACACAAATACAGGTACAAATACAGACACAGACACAAATAGAGAGAGACGCAAACAGAGACACAAATACAGACACAGTTACGAATACAGAGACAATACAGATACGATACAAATACAGATACAAGTACAGACGCAGACACAAATACAGGTACAAATACAGACGCAGACACAAATAGAGAGAGACGCAAACAGAGACACAAATACAGACACAGTTACGAATACAGAGACAATACAGATACGATACATATACAGATACAAATACAGACTGCAGGGAAAAAGCACGGCGTCGCAAGTCGTCAACACACAGGTCGCATTGCAGAGGCAGCTGCTGCAACGCAAAGGGAAGAAGGAGGAAGGGCATGAGGAGGGAGGGGTACCAAGGGGGTAGAGGGTTAGAGGGTGAAGGGGAAGGGATTTTCAGAGCAGATCGCTGCTCTAGAGGCCAAGCTAGGAGAACTCGGCAAGCTCAACAGAGACACTTGAAGCGGCACAACAAGCTCACAAGCTGAAGCTGGCCAGTTTGCTTGCAGTAGATGGCAAAAACGCTTTGAGCTGCTGGGTGGTCGTGCAAGGCTTCCACCAGCTGACTCATGTCTACCCTACAGCCATACATACGTACATACACAGATACATATACAAACATGCACATGCATATACGTGTACACACATACATACATACATACATACATACATACACATACATACATGTACATATACGTATACATACACCAACACCCCCCCCACACATACACATACACATTCACATACATACATTGCGGCCCTTGGCGTAGCCGATAGACTCTCTGCTTCTCCTTCCCTCCCCTCCCCCTCCTCCCCGCTATTCCATTATCCCCGTGAATCTCAAATGCAGCTTCCTCGAGAGCAGCCGCGGGTGCAGCGCGTGGTATTACCGTCCGTCTGGGCTGTCAGCATCCGCTGCAAGGGCTGCCGCAAGGCACTGCAGCAGCAGATCTGCGTCTGCAGCCTCTGCCGCTTTTTCCGTAGCCAGCGACACTTTGGCGAGCTTCAGGAGCAGCGACACCTGCGCCTGCATCGGCAAGCGAAGCAGAAAGACGCGCGCGCGAAGCGTTGCTAAAGGCAACGTGTCCCCGGCTTGCATGCGCGCAGCACCGCATGCAGAAAAAGAAATCAAGCCCCACCTTCGGCTCAGCTTCAAAGGCTGCCAGCCGCGTAGCGAGCACAGGCCTCCCCGCCTGAGCCGCGCACAGCGCAAGCCGCGCGAAAGGAAGCGGAGACTGCAGCTGCAGCTGCTGCTGCTGCTGGGCTGGTCTGTTGTAGAAGGCATAGCCAAAGAAGCTCTGCGCGAGGGAAGCGGTAGCATCCCCTCCACCGCCTTTGGCAGAGGCGGCAGCAGCAGCTGCTGCTGCTGCTGCAGCTGGAGGCAGCCTTGCCACCGCATGCATCCTACTGCACACAGCCTCCGTCAGCTCTTCGTCCGTCAAAGAAGCGCAGCGAGATATCTTGGCAAGAGACCACGATACCAGCACTCCCCGTGGACACAGACCGCTATACTCGCAGATACGCACAGCCAGCAAATGCTGATGCCGACTGCGTCTCACACATACATACATACGTAGGTGTACATACAGTTTTGTGCATATACATACGTAGGTGTACATACAGTTTTGTGCATATACATACGTAGGTGTACATACAGTTTTGTGCATACATACAGTGGTGTACATACAGTTTTGTGCATATACATACGTAGGTGTACATACAGTTTTGTGCATACATACATTGGTGTACATACAGTTTTGTGCATACATACGTAGGTGTACATACAGTTTTGTGCATACATACGTAGGTGTACATACAGTTTTGTGCATACATACGTAGGTGTACATACATTTTTGTGCATACATACATTGGTGTACATACAGTTTTGTGCATGCTGCACTGGTGTACATACGTAGGTGTACAGACAGTTTTGTGCATGCATACATTTTTGTGCATACATTGGTGTACATACGTTGTTGTACATACATTGTTGTGCATACATGTTTGTACATAGATACATTTCTGTGCATACAGTTGTGTGCATGCAGTTTTGTATATACATTTTTGTGCATACGTTGTTGTACATACATTGTTGTGCACACATTGGTGTACATACAACATACACATACATGCGTAGTCCGTCAATCGTACACGGCGTATAAAGTCTGAGTGGCTTTTTAGCGGCATCGCTTAAAGCAGACTCAGCTCGAACAGCGAAGCACAAAGACGCGCGCAACAGCAGCAGTCATCTTGGCAGCAGCACAAGTAGCAGTAGCAGCAAAAGTAGCAGTAGCAGCAAAAGCAGCAGGAGCAAGAGCAGTAGCCACGCGAACTTGGCAATTCGTCGAACGAGCTTGGCAAGGGTTAGCGCGCGGAGCTGAACTACGGTGATGGGCATATCAAGGGGAGCTTCTCGCAGACAGGTGCAGATCCTGTGATGCAAAACAGTCAGATTCTTTCGGAGAACAAAGTCTGAACTGCCTGCCGTGTGGTAATCGTTTCGCGCAAGGGGTTTGCGAGGAGGCCTGTGAAGGGTGGCAGCGTGGAGGCGTTTCTCGCTTTGCTGGACGTGCTACTCTTCCTTGAGCCTTATTTACTCCTTAAGAGAGACACTCCACCCACCTGATGTCTCTGCATGCTCTGATGAACTGCTTCTGTGAAATTCCTGCACGATCTTCATCGAGGAAGCGTCTGCCGAATGCCGCTGCTGAGAGCAGGAAGGCTGCCCTGTCACTCCGCAACTCTAAGCAAGCCGCCTCGCAGCAGGATGCAGCTGCAGCCGCTGCATCACCCCAGGCGCAAGCAACAGTAGCAGTAGTGGCAGCAGCACACACCCGAAGCCTTGACGAGCCTCTCTCTGGGGAGCAGCAAAAGTAGCAGCATTCACCACTGGTAGCAGAAGCAACAGCAAAAGCAGCAGCATAAGCAGCAAAAGCAAAAGCAGCAGCATAAGCACTGGCAGCAAAAGCACTGGCAGCAAAAGCACTGGCAGCAAAAGCACTGGTAGCAAAAGCAACAGCAGCAGCCCGTACAACGATACTCGCGCGTGTGCGGGGGAAAGAAGGACTGGAAAAGCTTCTCATTACCAAGATCAGGTTTGATGGCGCGAAGACTTTCTTCTGCTGCAGCGTCTTGCGCGTAGAGGCGTTCCAGTGCATAGCAGAGCATAGCTGAGGGATCACACGACCCCACCCCAAAAACACTCTCCGTTGCTGCCGCTGCCCTCCGAATAAGTTCTGCTGTTGTGGATGTCAGCACGCGCAAGCCATCAATTTCCTCCACAAGCACGACGCCGCCTCCAGAGCCACGAGGTTCAGATCCAAAGTCTAGGGGTAGCCACTCGCTGTTTGGACCCCCTAGTAAAACGAGATGCTGCATGCAGATCGCCAGCATGCCCCCGCGGCTACATACATATATATATATACATTTATACATATACACATATACATATATACATATATATATACATATATAGATACATGTATACATATATACACACATACATACATATATATGTATAACACAACACATGAGACAGGCACTCGCGGCAGACCAGGCAGAGAGTTTCGCTGCAGCGCAAAAAACAAAGTCGCGCGCGAACTCCGCAGAGACACCCCAAGCCCCACAGAAGGCTGCAGCAGCAAGCAGTCGTTCGTTCGTTCGCGCACGTGCCAGGCAGCTGCGCTTCACCTGAATGTCTCCCGACGGCGTCGTGAGCGGTACATACACCCCGAGGCAGTCGTCCCCACACCAGGCGATTTGGCGCACTCTTCGGCTCCTGTCGAAGGAGGCGGAAGCAGCTAGCTGCACTGATGAGGCATCCACGCGCAACACCTGCAGCGCTCTGCAGCATTGCGCGCAGTCAACAAAGAGCAGAAAGCCTGCACCCAAAAGCCCGTCTCTCTCCCGACACTCACACCCCCTTAGATACTTTGAACGAGCCGTAATGGCTGGTCGCTGCTGCCTTCCACTGCCCTCCAAGCCCTTCATCTTCCATGCAGAGAGAGAACTCGTACACGGCTTTCGAGGCATTATCTGAAGCGCTGCAGCAGCTCTGCAGCTGCAAAGGCGGCTTTTAGCCGCAGTGCAGTCGGCAGGGGGCAAGAAGGGGTGGAATTTACCCAGCGTTGGACACAGCGGCAACAAAGCGATTGCTGCGTGAAGCGGCGAGTGCGACAAAGGGGCCGTCAGGGATTCTGCGCAGAGTGACACCCCCCACACAGCGCATGTCTTGTGCCTTTGTTGCGTCTTCGTCCAAGAACAAGGTCCACACACAAGACGCTCGACGACTCCCGCATGCATGCCCACCAGCTTACTTGAGATCTTGACAGCCGTTGCGATCCACGAGGAGAAGTGCCCCCTCCTCAGTGGCAACGAGCAGCCGCGGCTCGGTGAGAAGCGCAGGGGGCCCCTCAAGAAGGCCGGAAGAAGGGGCCCCCTGAAAAGAAGGCGGCAAAGGGGGCCCCGTGATGGCGCAGATGCAGAGGGGGGGCCCCCGTAAGGCTGCAGTGGAATATCGCAAGTAGTAGCACAAATCTGCATGCGTGAGAGTAGTAGCACCCATCTGCATGCGTGAGGACCCCTAGCGCGGCAATAAGAGCATTGAAGGGAGGCGGGGAAGGAGTTTCCGGAGAAAAAGGAGTGCCAGAAGAAATACTAGGGAGAGTAGAAGGAATAGAAGGAGGAGCATTATTAGGAGAAGAAGCATGGGGAGGCGTGCTGTAGGAAAAGTGGGAGAAGGAGTATTAGAAGAAATACTAGGGAGAGTAGAAGGAATAGAAGGAGGAGCATCATGAGGAGAAGAAGCATGAGGAGGCGTGCTGTAGGAGAAGTGGGAGAAGTCATAGAAAGAGCATTAGGAAGCGTATTTTAGGAGGAGCATTAGGAAGCGTATTTCAGGAGGAGCATTAGGAGAAAGAGTCAAATTAAAAGTAGGTGAAGGGGTATTGAAAGAGTATAAGAAGGAGCACCCTTGAAGGGTACGATGAGCGGAAGCTTCGCGATTCAAGAAGCAGCACAGCAAAAGGCTGAAATCGAAATGCCGTGAAAAAGCGACAGGGCAGACCTCCTGATTTACAACCGTCAGTGGCCTCTTGCCATCGCGGCAGAGACTCTGCCAATCTGCCCCTGTGTTTTTTTGAGTGTAGCCTCAGTGGTTGCAAGGAGGGAAGAGACTCTGTGTGTGCAGCGTCCAACGTAGACATACGCGGAGTGGGTAGATGCAGCAGACGCGCTTTGTCGAAAGCTTGGTTGATATAAACCTGATTGGTGCTTGTCAAGACGGCAATGCCTGCCTTCCCAATGCATGCCTGCGTGTGTCACACATTGGATGGAGGTTTATTGGCTCGTTTTGGGGACGCTGTCTCCTGTCGAAAGCCTCAAGTGAAAATTCGAAAGCCTTCCACTGCCTCCTTGCTTGCAAAAAAGCCTAAGGCAGTCTGCGGAACCTCCCCCAAAAGAGGCGACAGCAGAAAGACACGTTTGGCTCTACAGCCTCTTTCTACAATCTCTCGGGGAGTGGAAAGAAGTACTGCAGCAGGAATGACCCCTTCTCCTTTTTCTTCCTACCTACCTACCTAAGCTCCTCCCCCTCTTTTTTCTTCCTACCTACCTACCTACCTCCCCCTCCTTTTTCTTCCTACCTGCCTACCTAAGCTCCTCCCCCTCCTTTTTCTTCCTACCTGCCTACCTAAGCTCCTCCCCCTCCTTTTTCTTCCTACTTTCCCCTCCTTATGTACCTGAATAATGCCGCCTTCGGCCTTGATGGCCTCTCCCAACGAGAAGAAATGCAGTTTTTCTCCAGCTGGCGAGAAGGTGCGTACAACGGAGTCGGCAAAAACGCACACCAGCGCCTGCATGCACACATAAGAGACCCCTCGAGACAGCGACCCTCCAGATTGCACGCAACGGCTGACTTTCTCTCGCCTGCGGAGAAGACGCCACGCCACACTCTGACGGAAAGACAAGCATCTCCACGCCTTTGTACCTCTTCTTCATTCCACTGCATAGCCACCAAGCGCGTAAAGGTCCAAGGAAGCGAGGCTATGAGACGACCTCTGGCTGTGAAGAGCTGCAGACGGCGCATGCAAAATTGCGGAGAGCATCGAACGTTTCCCGCGAGAAGCGGCCGCACACACTTTGGGCACCGCTTTCTCCAACAGACCCCTGCCAAGCAAGCACTTCTCGACGGCTTCAGCTACCTGCAGCTCAGGCACGAGCTTGTGTGTAGTTGCCGGCTGGAAGACGCGCTCGCTTCGCACGGCGGCTAGGGGGCCCCCCCAAGGAGCGCCTGCGACGATGGATGTCTCGAGAATCTTGGGGTTGGTCCAGAGCATGTCGAACAGACGCTGACGCCTGTAGCTGACGCCAGCCAGTTGTTGCCAGTCCACAGTCACCCCCAAGCCGAAGCCTATGCCACTGCCGTATCCGAACATGGAGAGGGGCGGCTGCTGAGTCTTGGAGGGCCCCAAGGGGCCCCTCGAGGCGCTCAGTTGCCCCTCATTTGCGGCGCTGCCGGGAGACGCTTCGGAGGCGCGCGCTTCGGGAGAGCTTGACTGGCTCATGGGGGGGGGGCAGAAAAGTGAGTCGTTTTTGCGCACGGACGAGGATGGCACGAGAGGCCTTAGGGGAGGGGCCCTAGGGGGCCCTCTGGACCCTCTGCAGACGCGCTTCCGCGCGACTCGAGAGCTTCTCCTGCGAAACTTGCACGCGATCTCCGCTCATCTGCCACGAGGGGGAGGCCGACAAGGGGAGGGGGAGGGGGGATCTCAACTGGCGTGAGGCTCACACAGCACTTCCCTCGGGAGGAAGTAAGGGCTGCTCCTAGAAGCCACTCTCCCGCAGCAAGTTTAGCGCGAGCTGCTGCTGCTTAGCCTCCCGTTACAGCGACGGCGATGCGGCGGCAGCAGCTGCGGCTCTTCCCCCGGAGAGGGAGGGGAGGCCCCTTACCTACCTAGGAGCGGCGCGGTCGCGTTGCTTCTGCGATTCGCCGCGTGATGTTTTTGCGTCCAAGAACTTGCGAAGAAGTCATTTTAATCGCTTTGAGCAGGCAGAGAAAGGGGGGCCCTATCAACACACGTGCCATGGGGCCCCCCTCTGTCGGCAGCGGCCGCAGCGCCGCTAGCGCGCAGGAGGGGGTTCTTATGTCTTCGTGTGTGTTAGGGAGGAGGCGCATGCGGACATGTGAAGAGGCACAAATGTGTGCAGTTGCAACCACTTTTGGGCAAAAAACGGCAATAAAGCTCTACAAAATGCGTCAGAGTCTACTGCCACACTGACCGCCGGTGGAGGACCTCGCGCCGTCTGCTCTCTCTCTACCGTGCAGGGGCGGAAGGGGGTTTATGCATTCAAGCAAGGAGGGCCGTCTTCCTTCCTTGCCACTGAGTAGTGCAGTCAAATTCCTGCTCTGTCTGCCTACATTTGCTTGTGGGATGGACCGCTTTCGGCGCTTAGGGTTTAGCGTTTCGTGGTACTCGCGGAGTGTGTGATGACTGCACTTCAGGCGTGATGCCTAGGCGCAGTCCTCTCGTCGTAATTATGGGCTGGCAAACTCCTTCTGCACATTCCTGCTCCCTCGCCTGTCTGCAGCCCCTGTTTCTAATGACAAGCGTGAACAGCCACACCCGAAATCTGAGCCGGTGCCCCTCCGCGAAACTGGATACTAAGGCTCCGAAAAACTCTCGAGGCGTAAAATTCAAAAAGAACAGTCGTGCTCAGCTGCCTTATGATGGGCAGTAGTGCGGCAGAAGCACTTTTAAACTTCGCAGGTTCCAGAAACGCTGCCACGACGGAGGCGTTGCCTCTGAATTGTGGCCTCGCCTCTCGCCTCGTTTGCTGCACGTCCAATTTTCCTGGAAAGGGGTCCCTTAGTACCAATACGGTCTACTAGACGGGAGCTGCTGGGTTGTCTCAGACTAAGCGTCACACAGGGTTGCTTCAGATCTTTGCAGGGTACAAAACTTCAAGCGAGTGCTTGTTTGTGGAGGTCTTCCGGCATGGCACTGCAGAGGGAAGCGTCATGAGCGAGAAGCAAATGCTGCACCAAGAGGCCTCTGTTTGGAGACACCTGAGTTCACCACTTGAGGGAAAACCATAAAGTGGTCTCGTTACAGATCGCGCTGCGTTCCCTGTCTTCGCTCCTCAGAGTTCTGGCGTGTGGGGAGAAGGGCACCCAGGGTGCCGCTTGGTGCTCACTCTAAGCACTCCGAGTATTCAGAGCTAGTTGCACATAGGATATAGCACCGACGCAGAAAATTCCAGTTCTTGCCGTATCGAGCTCACGGCTCCAATAATGTATATATCATCTGCGATCCGTCTATCCTATTGGTAAAAGCTTTGCTTATTCTGATTAAACGTAACCAGCCCGGCTAACAATGCCGAAAGGTAGCTTCCCTCTTATTAGTGAGCTTGAAAAAAGGGTCTGAGCGAGCACTGACGTCGAGAAAACGACAAGCATGAAGGACTGGTGCTGCTGTGTGTATATGCCGATTAAGATGATTCTTCTACGCAGGTAACACTTTCTGGAGATCGGAGGCATTCCAAGCATAGCGAATCAGCCGCATTCACACACACAGGCGGATGGACAGCATTGTGTGTCTATCTCCATCGGGAGTCACGCACTTGGGAACCCTTTCTTTACTTTTAGTGTCTACTAACTCTCTACCGCCCTGCTACGCTTGAGCGCATCGTTGCTTTTAGCTGTGCTTTCACTCAACCGTGCGAACTTGGGATATACATGGCTACACGATATAGTCGAAGGGTCTGGTGAAAGCGAAGGGATTGGTTGAATCTCTTTGGCAAGAGGCCAAGACCTCGCCATTCCGGGCGTGGCTGGTACAAATGTGCTTCCATCTCTGCGCATTGCGCTAGCTCTACAGCTGCACATCGATAGCCATATATAGTATTTATGGATATACGTGTGCATTGATTCATCTATATGTACATGAAAGCAATTTTTTTTGCACACATGGCCGCACGCCCACTGTTTGTATGATGGCTGCCAGGAACAATCGATTAATGCCTTCCTGTCGCCAGAGGAGGTAAAACACGTCCCCCGAACCGTAAATGCCTCTATTACTTAGTGGAAAAATGCAACTGCAGGCAGCAACAGCAAGGCGCGCCGCGGGGGGAGGGCTGTGTGTGCCAACAGGTGGTCTGCGCAAATCCGTGTGGAGAGAGCACATGGCTGGTAACCCCGACCGCAATTCCTCGAATCCAGACCCCAAAGGCCAAACTCTGCGCGTTGAGCACAAAGTTTTCAGTCATGAAGCCAGCGACCTCATAGGGAGCGCTGGAACGCCCCTGCAGCATCGCGGTGATGCAGAGAGGCTGCAGCCGACTCGAGACCAACGGGTGTGGTACACCTCCAATCCGCAGTCAACGCGTCAAACTATGGAGAGTCTAGAGTCTAACAGGGACCAAAAAGCGAAAATTCATGCAGCTGCTCCCCACTCTCCAAGCCATGGCTGCTACTCTGCCTCGCCTTTCCACGGGGTCACACCAGACAAACTCTGCGGAACGCTCCAGACGCGGGAGCAGGTAGACGCCTCTACACTCCGCCCACCCGACATTCTCTATTCGTCAGGCCCCTAACGGAAAGGCTGAGGGGCGAGGCTGCGCGAGAAAGGCCGTCATTGCGCGATTTCCGCAATATTTGACACGCACGCACTACCCCCCGCCACACCACACAACTGTGGGCGTCCCCGAACCTGCCAGCCAGCCTTCCCCCGTCGGCCGCATGCGGTCTGTGCCGAGGGGGTGTCTGCTGTTACTGCAGCCGCTCCTGCTCATTTTCGCAGCAGTAGCAGCAGCGCCACAGAGCAGCAGCAGCAACGGCAGCAACAGCGGCGAGCAGGCAGAGCCTGCTGCCGCCTCCTGGACCCCTCCCTTCCAGCTGCACCTCCTGAACAGACACCAAGCCATAGAGCGCCATGACCTCCTGCTGCCGCTAGAGGAGCAGCAGCTGCCACGCCGTCGCGTCTGCGTGCAAGCTGCGCCGAACGCAAGTGATGACGGAGAATGCGGAGACGGCGACTACTGCGAAAACACGCAGAAAAACAAACACTACAACAGAAGCTACACCACGCAAAAGGACGCGACGGAAAGCGATCCACCGGGCTTCCAGCTGTTTGAGCGCCTAAAAGGACAGCCGTTCAAAGCAGAGTTCTGTGGACCCCACCTCTGCATAAACCACCAACCAACATTCTTCATTGCAGCAGGTCCTCTCCCGAACGCAAACTCCTAATTGCGCGCTTGCTAGCTCGGCGCATGCAAGCAGGCAGAAAGCCAAATAGCCCGTGCACTGAGGTCTAGACTTTGGCGTGTGTCTGTGCGTGTGTGCATGTATGTGTGCACGTATGTGTGTGTGTGTGTGTGTGTATGTGTGTGTGTATCTGTGTATGTATGTGTATGTGTATATCTCTGTATGTGTGTATGTATGTGTATGTGTATGTATCTCTGTGTATGTATGTGTATGTGTATGTATCTCTGTGTATGTATGTGTATGTGTATGTATATCTCTGTATGTATGTGTATGTATATCTGTGTATGTATGTGTATGTGTATGTATATCTGTGTATGTATGTGTATGTGTATGTATATCTCTGTATGTATGTGTATATATATGTGTATCTGTGTATGCACATCTGTGTATGTCTAGCTGTGTATGTATGTATAGCTGTGTATGTATACGTGCATATTGTGTATGTACATCTGTGTATGTATACGTGTATATTGTGTATGTACATCTGTGTATGTATGCGTGTATATTGTGTATGTACATCTGTGTATGTGTATATGTGGGGGCACTTAGGTTTGGATCTGCCTTCTGCCATGACCTCGCCCCTCCACGTTCGCCGTCAGCTCATCGCTGCGCGCTCTGCAGGGTGCAACGCCGTCAAACTGTCTCTCTCTTGGAGTGGTATCTGATCCCTTTCTCACCTTCCCACGCCCAGCTCCCCAATGCTGCTTTCGCGTTTTTTGCCGTGAGGCGTCCTTGCCAAGCGTCTGCATGCAAGGATGCCTTTATCGTGCCGTGTGTTGGTTCGCCCTTCTCCAGGGGTGCCTGCCCCTGCGCGGCTGGGTGGCTTCAGACCCTCCGGCTTCCAGTGAATTTGCTTCTTTTTCCTTGCAGCGCATGCAACAGCGCCCTTTACCTTTGATTTTAGCGGCCGCTTGGACGTCAGAAGCCTCATTCACTTGGCAGGATCTCTTGGGCTCTTTGTGGTGCTCGAGGGCATGCTGCCCTGCGACCTCTCCGAGGGGGGCCCCTGGGAAGACACCCGAGCCGGGGGGGCGCCCCTCGAAGACGTCGCAGCCCTTCGCGCAGCCTCAAGCCAGTGTCTACGGCAGCAAGTGCCGCCTTGGATTTCGGTGAGAGAATCGAGAAGGCGTCCTGCCTGCTGAGAACTGTTTCGACTGGTCCCTGGAAGAGAAAGAGAGAAACAGAACGCACAGACCGCTGGAGAGGTCACGGGGGGAAGGGGAGGAAGACGGCTGCTCTTCAGTCTGAGCGCTTTTCGCCTCTAAGGCTTGATTGGGGAAGCTGCGGGTTCTGCTTGCGCCGCAGCACTCACTGACTGCTCCCTGGGGAACCCTTGAGGCCGAGTTTCAGCTGCTTCTCCATGCCCAGGTGAGACTTTCCCCTTCCCCCCTTCTGCGTGCACCGTAAAGCCTCACTCGTGCTCTCTCTTGGGTCGCCTCTCGCGCTTCCTCTGCTGCACCTCTTGCGCTGTCTTCATGCCAGACGTGTTCTGCGGGTGTACGAGTGGGGCCTTCGTTTTGTGCTGCAGCGCTGGCTCGCCGCTCTGAGGAGCTACTTAATGCCTCTTACTGCTTCTACGGGGGGCCCTCTGGTGGCCCTTGCTGTACGGGGAAGTGCTGCCGTTGAGCGGCTGTTGCAGCTGCCCCTGTTCGTCCCCCAGAGCGGCAGCAGCAGCAGCAGCGGCTGCGGGAGCGCAGGCTGTGCTACTGCCAGGCTGACGCACGGTCTTGTCACCTCCGGCCCTCCCGAGAGCTTCACCCTGCTTTTGCAGCAACACGCAGCCACCCCGACGCAGCTGCTGCTGCCGCCTCGCCTTAGGGGCACAGTAGAAGTTCCCCCTCCACCCCTCAGCAAAAGTGCGAATCCCACTGACGCAGCAGCGGCAGCGGCAGCAGCAGCTACTGCCAGACGCCTCTCAGAGCCCACCACGCTGCAGAGAACCCCTGGAGCTGCCACACCAGGTAAATACGTCGAGCGAGCGCTCGAGGGTCGCCCTGCCACAGCAAAAAGAACTTTTTCTGCCGCAGCAACACCTCGAGCAGCTGCGGCATGGGCCTTATAATCGTGTGCGTGCTGCGCGAGCTGCTTCTTTGCTGCCGCAGCGCCTCATGGGCTTGAAAACAGTGCAAGGACTTGCGGGATTTCGCGGAGCAGCAGCAGCAGCGGCAGCGGCAGCGGCAGCAGCAGCGCGAGCACCTCCTCTCCGCGTCAGTTGGTTCCAGACGATAGGTGGCATGCCTCCTCAGCTACTGCTGTTGCTGCCGCGGCTAAAGAGCACCAGCACCTGGCTGTGCCCGCGACGCTGTGGGGGGAGCTTGAGGCCTTTGGACTGCCCATCGTGGCTGTAGACTTTTCAGAGACCCCCCGAGGCGCAACCGCTGCAGATTCGCCATACACTGCTGGTGCACCAACCTTCTCCAGAAATCCCCGTGACTGGCGGCTTGGGAAAGGTTTCTGGGGGGCCCCTGCTCGGGGCCCCCCGTCCGACACAGGAGGCACCACCGCACGAGCCAACGAAGCCGAAGTTTTACTGGAGGGCCCCCCGAAGCGCGTGGACCCTCGCAAACCCGTTGTCGGCCTGTTGCCTCGAGGGGCCCCCCAGCAGCAGCAGTGGCTGCCACTTGCCGCTCCCCCAATGGGCAATGCAGGGGGCCCCCTGAGGACCCTGCGCCGTCTGCTGCTGCGGCTGCTGCACCCGCGCCAGCAGCGGCAACGGCGGCAAGCCGCAGCTGCTGCGGCAACGCTTGCTGCGTTGGAGCACCTGCCCAGCAGCAGTGACGCTGGAGAGGGGCGCACTCCTGGGAAGGCGCAATCGTTCCCGAAGTGGCGACCCCGTCAGGGGCTTATGGGGCCTCCCGCTAGCGGGTTCTCGCTGGCGTTTGTACAGCCCGACGAGCCTTTCGTCAAGAGTGCCCAAGGGGGGCCCCTGATGTTTACGGAGGGGCCCTGGGGCCTCGCGAGCGACGTGCTGCTGCTGGCTGGCCGCGGGTGCTCCTTCTGGGCATATGACATGTTCGCTGCTCCTCAGCAGCAGCAGGTGGCGCTCCAGCTGCTGTCAAAACTGCCAGACCGACGCAGCAGACTGCAGCGCCTGCGCAGCCGCCACAGCGGCGGCAAGCAGCAGCACCTCCTAGATGCGTGGGGCTTCCCGCAGTGGCCTGCTTACGCCATTCTTGCACACATTCACAAGGTTCTCAGTAAGCCTCGATTCCTGGTTCATGCGACGCCGCACCAACGCAGCAGCCTTCGCGTCTGGGAATCTAGACTGCATGGCGTACAGCTGTCCAGCCGTCCATCAGAAAGTTTCTAGGTCTTGAGACGTTGAATGCGGTTCTCTTTTGCAGACACCCACAGAGAAGCTCTCTTAAAAGGCCCCCAAAGGCAACTTAGGGGCCCCCGAGGCGTGGAGGCCTTCGACTTTGGAGATGTGCTCATCGCGTGCAGCCACCGTGAGATGCTCGTGCTGCTGCTTTCTGTGCTGCTGCACGCGCTTTCGCTGCTGCCGCCGGAGAGGGAGGGACGGGGCCGCCCTTAGCGCTCCTGCTGCTGAGCCGCAACGGAGGACGCTTTTGCAGGACTTGTGGGGGATTGCTCGCCGTTGCACTGCAGCAGCAGCAACACCAACAGGCGACCCCGTTCTGTTTTCGCCGCAGGCAGACGACCGACAACAGTGCATTGGCGGGGCGCTGCAGTGCAGATACGCCCATACTCCTGCTGGTTGCTGCATGTTGCTGCATTGCCTCATGCAGCAGCAGAGCCTCAGCAGCAGCAGGCAGAAGCGTCAGAAGCCCCAGCGAGAGCCTTCGAAGCCCTGCTTGACAATCCCCTGGCAGTGGCCAGCTCGCACATGCTCTTCATTGGAAATGCAGCCAAGCAGGAGACAAAGCAGCATGCGCAGCAAGAGATCGACATCGTGGCGGCGACGGACGGCATTACGCTCCTCCAACCCGAAGTAGGCTGTCCAGCCAGCTGCGCAGTGCTACTACTCTGGCTACCCCCGCTGCTTCCAGCGCCCCTGAGATCGCTGCTAGAGTCACTGCCCCTGGTTGCATGCAGGTTTGCTGCACATTCCTCGCTTGCTCTAGTGTCAGGCGCATTTGGACTGCGCGTCTGTGTTTGCTTGCGGATCAGCTGCAAGTGGGCGCCTCCCGCAGAGAGTTTACGCAGGCCCAGTTCCTTTCGCGCAGCCGCGGCATTCTGGGGGAGGGCCCTGCCTTCTGCCTGTCTCCCTCCGCTGCTGCTGCGGCGGAGACAGCAGGGGCAAAGACACCATCGGCAGACGCAGTAGCGGCGCTCCTGCTGGCTGGATTGCCCGTGCTCACGGAGCCACAGTGGCTAACGCACGGCAAGACAAATGTTGTGTGGTGAGGCTTCACTGGCGAGGCTCCAGCAGGCCAGGAGGCAGAGCCCTTCGAACAACAACGCACTGTCCTTCACTGCGCGACAGTCCGCCACTGGCAGGGGCAGTCAGTCGCTGTGTGCTCCCGTACTGCAGCGCATACAGCCGCTGTACGTCCTGATGCTGGTGCGCCTCTGGTTGTTGCGGCTGTGTGCCTGTCCTCGTTGCCGCCGCATGCAGGGTGAAATTCGGCTTAAGGAGCCTCTCAGGGCCTCTTTCGCCTCCACAGCTCCAGCAAAACCCCAGAGACATGCGGCTGCTGGAAGTGCGCAGCAGCAAACAGCAGCCGCAGCGGCCTCACGTGCTGCTGCTGCTGCTGGCTGATGGGGTGTTGCTACAGCACGGCGTAGTCGGCCCCTCTCCATGGGCCCAGGACTCTCTCTCCGCGTTCCTGCCGCCGACAGCACAAACCGTCCAACTTATCAGGTTTGCGATTTGCTACCAACTGCTGCAGCTCGCGCTTTCCAACATATTCGGCTTCTCACGTGGCTAGCCGGCGGGCTGCCTTAGAAGGTAGCGTGCCAACGTTAATTCGCAGCTCGGCGCCGTGCATGCAAGCTCGCGCGAAGCTGAGTTCCGCTCAAAGGCCACTTGCGCCTTGTTGCCTTCGCCTCCTTGCAGCCCTAACCCGGCTGTCGGGGGGTTTAAGCTGGCGCGAGAAAGAGACGCTGATGGCGTGTTGTGCTTGCGGACGCAGCTTCACACTGGAGGCCCCCCCTCTGAGAAGCGAGAGACTCCGTCGCTCAACCCTTTGGGGCAGGCTGCTGCGGCTGTGGAACAGATTTCGCCGGCAGCAGACGTACGAGACACCGAGTGCGTCTACTGGCTCGGCAGTGCCAGAAGCATGCAGCCCTACCAAGACCGGCAGCGAACAGTCAGCAACGGAGACTTGGGCAGCGGCTGACGAGCCTGCAAGCCTTATAAGTCCATCAACAGCCGACACAACAGCCGAAGCAGCAGCCGCGGTAGCAGCGCTGCCACAAGCGGGCCCTCAGACACCCGAGATCTTCCTAGACGGCGACCCCGTGGATGCCTCGCTTCTGGCTGTACGCAACACGCCCTGAACCATGGGTGCCTAAATCTAGAGAGGCATGTTTGTGGCTGCTCTTGCAGAGGAGCTCGCTCGTGCTGCACCGCGTCTTGCGTATGCTGCTGCTGTTGCTGCCTCAGGTATGTGCAGGCCTCAGCTCGGAGGGTCTAAGGGCTCCCCCGTGGCGAACTGACGTAGCGCCAGCGGGCAACGAACGGTACAGCACTACACTGCAAAAAACTCTTTCGCAGGCCCTGCCGCTACGCTGCAATCAGCGGACCTGTACTATTTGTGTAATCAGCTATGATTTTCGGTGTATCTAGCTACTAGCTGTCCACTGACCCGCCATGCGCGGGTCATGCACAGCTATTTTCTGTGTGCCGAGACAAATGATGCAACTGGCTCGCTTAAGGAAGCTCTCCGTTTTTTACGCGTATTGCAGGCAATCGCACCCCGAGCAGCAAACAGAGCCTGACACCACATGCCTTTCCACGAATGGCTGCTGTTTTTTGCTGCAGGACGGCTGTTACCGGCGCTGTGCAGCCGCAGCTTCCTCTGTGGCTGACGCTCCTCGGTGCCCTCCCCTCTTGGGCGCTTACTGCTGCAGATTGGCCACTGGTAGGAACACTGAGGCCCATTTCCGTTTCTGAACGCTCAGTTATCAGGAAGGGGGGGAAGGCCGCTTGCGAAGGGTCATGTGGTAATGGCTGAGGTCTTGGGCCTAGGGTGTACGTTTTGCATGCAGAGATCGATCATCGCCCCGCTACCCAGTTGGCTGCCGGGGTCAGCGGGACTGGAAAGTACACCAGAACCGCTGAAACGGTGCGTCTGACGGAAATCAGACTCTAAGACTTGTGGCTTAGGGGCTCAGAAGCTGCAGCTCTGCTCTCAACCCTGAAAGCGCTTCTACTTGCAAAGCCGGACGTTCAAGCCTAGCAGTTTGATACACCTAAATGACGCTGCTCATGCGTGTGTGTGTGTGCGCGCGTGTTTGGTTGGTTCTCTGCATGCATTAATCTCGCTTGTCTCTCGGGGCTTAAAGTGTCTTTAGTTCATATGTATATGGTATACCCAGCCATCGTGAGTGATGTGAGCTTCCCACTTCTCATGGTGCTGTGACCCTCCCTACGCACTGCTGAAAGTTCCCTCCCATGCGTTGCTGCTCGCTCTTTCTCCTCAGGATCAACTTGGTCTTCTTCCTGCCGCAGTTGCTGCCAAATGCGCGGTATTCACTGCAGCTTCTTCCGGACAAGTCCGGTAAACTGCGAACCGTAGCCACCGTGCCAAAAGCCTAGCCATATGCCATAGAAAGCCCACGAGAATATTCTTGAGTCCCCACCGAGCCGAAAGCCGCACACGTGGGCTACGTTAAGCGAGGCTCTTATTTTCGTATTCATCGCTGAACCTCTGCTCACAGTTGCCACTTGACGGCTTGCAAGCTAGAGCCATTTCGACAGGCATGCGTACGGATGCAGGCCTATTGGGGGGGCTTTCTCTCGGCTATGCTACCCTCAACGGACATCCACTCGGTAAGGGTTCAACATACCCCGGAGCACGAATGGGCCAAGGACACACCCAAAGTATAAGGATTGACAGACGCCAAGCTCAGGCCCCCGAGAATGCGCAGCTACATCTGCAGCCTGCGCGTTCAACGCCCTCCATGAGCCTAGAGCGTTGGAAGCCTAGTATCCTGAGCGAAACTACACCAGAGAACTCTACCATTAGGCTGCGCCTGTTGAACATTTAATTTGCAGGATCAAGCACGTCCGATTGTGCCTTTGTGCAGGCGAGTACGCCGTGTCCACCAACTTGGCAGACAGCGGGAAGGCACAGGGAGAGCTCTCTATTCCTCCGGGCGTGTAAGCTGTTACCACTGGGCTATCAGGTTTGCGGCTCAATGGCTACCCTTGGCCGCAGGAGGGCATTTAGCTAGCTGCGACTGTGCTGCACGAGCCTCCAGGGAGGCATGTTTGTCTTTCCACTAGCATATTGCGCCGTAGATATTTGGCGGCCTCACTCTGTGCTCCTCAGGCTCGTTGAGGGTCCCAACGTTGTTAGCATTATCGACTTTCTGGGTGGCAACGCTTCTGGAGTCATCGTTCGCGAAGTAAGCACAAAGGTCATCGACTAAGCACTGACCGAAAAATGTTTGCCTGAGTGCTGCATAAATACCACAGAGCTCAACTGCTTCATTCTTTCACGTGCGCAGTAACTTCAATTGCTGAATTTGCTGTTACAGGAGGTGCTGGAAAGGCTTACAGCTGACAGGCCTGCCCTCTTCTCTCCTTGGCGTGCTTTCGGCCTCGTTTTGCTCCTTGTGGCGCTTTTGCTCATTCTTGGCCTTGTGCGTAAAGCACATATTATGATGGAGAACACGCTAGGCCTCAGACTTTCCCATACTGTGGACGCAGTGGTAGACTTCCATTAGGGTGCTGTGCTCGTGTGGTAGTAGCTCCTGAGCAGAACCCAACAATCTAGTATGTTCTGCGCTCTCATATGTATAGATTCTGACATAGCCAGGCATCCAATCAAAAGCATTTTGAACCCTTAGTCTTAAGCACTAGTCGCTGTCGTTTCCTGTTCTGGAGAACCCCTGTAGCACCAGCGTCGTTTTCCGTCGTTTGCTTGCACCTGTCCTTCTAGAACCACACAAAAATTTCCAATTTTTATTTGTTTCAGGCCTTGCGAAGCTTGGCGAAACGGGTTTGGCGGGTTCATCGCCGCTCCCGTTTGCTTGCTGCTCTGGCACTCGTGTCGGACCCCTGGGATTTCGAGAGCCCCCCAAGTACCCCTCGGCTTTCTCCCCGGGTTCTACAGCAGTAGACCACTGGGGCACATCTCCTGCTGCCAGTCGGTTATTTCTCTCTAGGGAAATACGAGAAACCGACTTCTTAGTGTTTTTGTAAGCCTGTTTGGGGGAAGGCTTCTTCAAAGCCATAGTCCTAGTCTTCCATTTCTTCCGCGATCTCATCTTCGTCCTCCTCCTCTTTTTCTGCAACATTTGAGTGTCATGCAATAATCTGGGCATGGCCGCCAGAAGACCAATATGATGGCCCATACCTAGCTCTTTTGCTGCTTCATTTCCTGGTCCCTGCGACAGGATAATGAAGAGCTGCATGAAATTACCCAAAACAATTACATTAAAACTGTCACACCTCTTTTTTAATGATGTCTCGTTCCCGTATTTTAAGCTGAGTCAACTTGTCCGCAAGGATATCCAGTTCTTTGGACTTCTCTTTCAGGTCTGATGGATTACAGGAACGGAAAAATAAAGCAAAACAAAAACGTAATTATTGGCATTAATTTAGGTTTAATGTGCAATTATCGTTTATTCGAGCTTCCTATACGCAATTTTATATGATTACTACCTGCATTCGTGAAAGTCGCTTGGAGTTCAAGTTGTCGATTCCCAGCCTTCGCAAGTTGCCTGCCATCTTCCTTTAACCTAAATGAAACATTTTGAAAGAGGATAAATTTGCTATGTAATTCCTTAAATTGAGTCGAAATGCATTACTTGTTAGTCAATTCATCCCGTTCCTTTTTCCTTTTCTCGATTGCCGACTCGGTTTCTCGGATTTCTTTCCGAATTTGCTGTACTCCCACAATTCCGGAATAATGACAGCATTTGAATGCATGAAACATGAGACAAAAGAACTGCTGAAAGGTACTGACCTCTAATGTTGTGCCTGCTATTTTGCCAAGCTGTTTCAATTCGTATTCCCGCACTGCTTTCATGGCCGGACTTGAATAATCACCAATCAGCGCGAGGGTTGTCTCTGCAACCTCCGCTGCCTAAAGCAGCAGCATGTTTAACTCTATTCGCCGAGCTGGACTTAACTGTCTTCTTTTATTGGAAGCTGCTTACATCTAATGTTTGAGAGTGCGACACAGGAGGCGGCTCCATGAAGATGATTGGCGCTGCTAGATCTGGCAACATTCCCCCAACTGTGTCGTAAATTAGGACCAGTGTTTGGAATCCAGGTAGAAAAGACAGGATTCTGTTTCCTACCTGCTCCTGTTTGACCTGTGGCCGCCTTTGGCGCTGCATGTGAAGAAAACGTGAGCTCACGTACGAAAAACTGAGGGCAAGTAAGAGCAAATACCTTGTAATGCTGCAGATCCTTCTCCAGGCTGAAGAAGTCCTGTGTAAGGTATTTCGAATATTTGATATCTAATGTGGAGCGCAAGAGCCGGCTACGCACCCTGTTCCTTCATGAATTTCAGTTCGTACTCCAACTTCTCCTTCAGTTCCTTATTCTGCTGAATCTTTCTGTCAAGCAGTTTCTGCGTAGATTCGAGCTTTCCCGCCCTCTCTGCATGTGCGCCTACTTAGATATATGATAGGCTGGCTGGTGCAAACGCTTTTACCTGCATCAACTGGAGGAATCGCCGGTGTTTGTGCAGCAGCTTGGTCAGCAACAGCGGCGTTCATGTTATTGTTCGTTCCCGGCACCACCCCAGGAATTATTGATCCAACCGCCCCTTGAATAGCTCCAGCAGCGAGCTGCTTAAAGAATTTGTCTTTCACATGAAGCTGAGAAGCAGTTGCTGTGCTTATGGATATGTACAATAAAGGCAAACAAACGGCCAGCCATTGTGTCATCCTTTCATACAAGAAAAGGTCAATTTTTAATAAAATGAAATATTATGTCGCTGTCTCCAAAGTAGACGGAGAAGGAAATACCAAGTGTGCCACGGAGGATGTGGTCAACTTCCTCGGTTTTTTGGGGTGTACAGGCAACACCACAGGATGCAGGCCTGATGTCAGGTCAACCTAAATCGATCTGTTAGTTGTTTTCGCGTCTATACACATTCGCACACTCGTCTCCTTTAAAAATTGTTCGCTGACAAAATACCGGTAATGGCCCCCATCTCTAATGCAAAAAAGGTTCATCACGCTTGCATTGCGAGAACCCGCTGAGAGGTACATCCCATAGTTCACACGAATCATTAAGAAAATACGATGAAATAGACGTTTCAGAGGAATACGATGGAGCATCAAACAAGCTGGACCCAACGATGCTGATATTTCAGAAACTCTCTGAGGAGTGCATTATTAGCCCATCACATCTCTCACGAAGCAGGATTCGCTGGTCTTCAACTTTGGATACAATATCAAGAGTTTTAGCCTTTCATTAATAATTCAGTGGAAGAGGGTGGACACTTCTGAAGATTGACTTCGAATTGCACACGCTCACGAGGGTCTACATTGTACAGCAGGAGCTCGGCATTGTTGCACTCAAAGTAGATCCAGGATATGGCAATGAAGGCGCAGCAAGATATGGACATCGGCGAATATTGGCCAACTGTTTTTTGCCTACAGTACAATCGAAATTCTTTGCGCGCAGACTAACGAGTGTGCGTCAGTCAGTGAGGGTATACATACATGCTCATGGATGGGGGTGAGCATAGACGGACCATTTCAAGCCAATGAGTAAAAATCTATAACTAACCGTGGCTTCCTCACAAATGCACTTTGAGCATGCCATAGGCGCTGCCTTTTAGCCCAAGATTGCAACGCTTCTGGTGCGCTGCTGCTTGGGAGGGGTCTCAGGTATAGAATTTCTGGTGCACCCTTTTTCTTTCTCTGATTATCTCTGTGTATTAGGGTGTCTGTTTTGTGCTTACACAACCATGTTTAAGCTGGCAGGTGGCGCGATCGACGTACGGATGTATGAAATGTCTCTTAGATGGACAAGGGGTTAGCATGGGAGCATCTATGAATATCAGGATTGGCAAGCTTATTGCATGCAATGCAATAGATTCAACGAGTCTTGTTGATGGCACTCGACAAACGTGGTCTAAAAATATCACGCCAATCTATGTAACAGGCCGTAGTGCATTCTGGCTGCATAAAACAGTATCGCTTAGGAGAGCAGTGCAAATACAGTACTCCTACCCAAACAGGAAGTCACGAATGGCACATATCGCATCAAATTCGACAGCAGAAAACTATCGATGTTCAAAACGAGACAGCGCCATCGGCTGGTTTGCACCTCTCCAAAGCTAAAACCCCACCGTGAGGCCAAAATCATTGGCCATCTAGCTGTGTTTACGCGGTCGGCGCTGCCCAAAAAAGCTCGAGTCCGGGTGTACTGGCTAGGAGTCTGTGCAGTGTTTCTTCTAGCTGAGGCACAGAAATGCCTTCTTCGTGAGCCCTTTCCCTCAGCTGCTGCAGCGACCTGCAGATACACCGCAGAACTTCCCGGGCCCGTTCGGCCTCTTGAGGGTTTTTGCTGCCTGACGAGAGACCCAATGCACACAGATTAGAAATAGATTTTTCCAGTGGGTGACACAGAGTGCTCAGCCTGCAGCAATTGACAGACGCAGAAGCAAAGGGAGCCGTGTAGGTTCCGGCCATTTCGGGTAGGAGGACACTGCTGGACTACCTACCCATTACAGGGCACAACTTGAATACAAACTCACATGTTTACAAGGATGCAAAACCGACTGTACATAAGTGATAAGCAGCTGCACATCTGTTTATGGGCGTGGAATTCACTTCCGAAAGAGCGTGGTTACTATGAGATCGTTCGTAAGCCTTTGCACTGACACAGTAGCCCAGGGCTTGATGACAAAGCGACGCAGAAGCCACGAAGGCCAGCCTTATTACCAGAAGATAAGCGTAAAGATGGCATTACTGCGACGCGATAAGCTCGATCAAGCCTGTTGCCTTCATTCTAGTATAGAGCTAAAGGAGCCAAAGAGGTAGCTACATGATCCAAGGGGCACGAAACACAGACTCAGCAAAAGAGACACGGCGAAAGAACTGCTGCTAAACACCCATGCGCCAGCTCAGACAAATGTACTGAGGAGTAATGCAGCAACAGCTTACTGCAATGCAAATTGTTGGGGATCCCAGCAATCCGCGAACTCAGCCAGTGTCAGCAGTAATTCGGCAGCGAGGTGCTGCGCCTCGTTGCTCGGATCCTCCGATCCCAAAGTCACAGCTCTCACCAGCATACACAGGGGAGCAATCCCCTCCGCTGGCGAGTCTGGTGTTGCTCCTGCTGCTGCGGCTCTGGCTAGCTGATTGAGGGAGATGAAGGCGGCCTTACGCAACCGGAGGCCTCCGTCGATTGTGTGCTTGAAGGGCCCCATGGCCACCTGTGTGATCAATTCCTCCCGTACCTACCGGACGTAACAGCAAGTTGTAAAACCTACAGTGAAGAATATATATATACATACGTATGCAAACGTGCGCGCACGACGCAGCATATACACAGGCCTGCCAGAAAAGAGCTAGCAAGCTTGTCTGCACGTCGAATTCTTTTCATGCAGTGCTAATGCGCGCACAGCCACCCATGCAGTCACGCGTAGCTGAGTACATACGGCTGCTCCTACCCCGGTGTGCCTTGAGAGTGCATACTCTGCAAGTCCCCCTAATCTGAGGGGCAGTCCCTACACGTTAGGTCCTACAGAAATCCCTTTAGCCTCACGGCCGCACCTCGACTGCCTCTAAAAGATGAGTCATGAGCTTGTTTGCCTCCGCGGCGAGGTTCCAGGCAAGGCCAAGGGCTGAGGTGCACATAGCCGCCACTGTACTGACGGCAGCCCTCCGAACCTAGAAGGTATCAGAGGACAGGAAAAAAAAGAGTCGCGCAGATTTGGTAGGCTCAAAAAACACAGTAGCTCTGGCCGTAGGGAGCAACCCCCTAGAGAAGTTGCTGCATGGAGTACGAGCAACACAACCGCAGCGTTGCACGACTGCCTCTGGTCAAGTGCGTGCCCTCTTCTTCAGTAGCTGTAACCTTTTAGGAAGGGCAGCGCAGGTAGTAGCACGTGTGACTGCTGCTAACAAGCACTCCCTCGAAGCTTACCCGCAGGTCCTGCGCAGAAAGACAGTTCAGATATGACGCCTTTAGCCGAAGGGGGAGGAGTACACCGTGCGTCGCGCAGTCCCTAAGCAGCCCAAGCAACCGCAAGCCACCTTTAGCGCCTCCTGTGCTCTTGCTTCCCAAGACGCTACTCCTCGTATCTTCCTTTCTCAGCCTCGTGCTGAGAGCTCGTCTTTCTATGTAGCTTTGTTGCTCCTCTAGCAGCAGCTTCCGGCCTTCATTTTCAGGCCCATGGGTTCCCCTGCGTCGGCGTTTTATTTGCCTCCCCGCTTGGAACGTCCTCGCGCCCTCGCCACGGACACATTTAAGGCACAATTTTTATCACCGACCTGACGGCTGCCACGCCCGTTAGACGCTGTTCAGGTACTTCGCCAGCCAGGAGATCCTCAAGGGCACCGTAAACGCTGCAGCAGCACTGGCAACAGGCACGCGCGCCGCTGCAGGTGTTGCTCGGATCGTCGCAGGTGCATGTGCTGCAGCAGCCTTCGCTGCTGCTGCCGCCTCGCTTGCCAGGGCAACCTGCCAGCATCTGTACAAGGCAGTCCGCCACAAGGCCCCTCTGAGCTTCACTGCGGCTCGCGGCGAGCAAACGCAATACATCCACAACCTGCGCAAAGCCGCACGCAGCACATCGCTGCCAATACCCGCGTTGTGTGCGTCAGCAAGGCCCCTCATACAACGCGCCGCTGCCGAGTTGCAGCCGAACGCAGTAGAAGCAAACACGTGTCGAGCCTAAAAATGCAGCAGGCGCAGACAGGCGCAGCACTACAGAAGGGGAGGGTCCAGCAAAGACAGCCTCCTACTTGCAGCACCAGGTCGCCTAGGGCACCCCAAATCCGTCCCTGCGACTGCTGCTGTAAAGGGCCTGCAGTTTGCAGCAGCAACCCCCCGTGCAGTGCAGTAACGAGCAACAGCTCTCGCTCCCTCTGTTGTTTCTTTGCGGATTTTGCGGCTGCGAGCTGCTGCTGCTTCTCCTGGTGCCGCTGAGCGAGGGCCTCTTCTGCGGGTGCATCTGCGTCCTTCTCGCCGGCATAGCCCTCGTTCGAGCTGGCAAGTCCTCGCTCCTCGCCTTCTGCCTGCAGCACGAGTTGCCGCTGCTGTCGCAGCAGCGACAGTAACTCCGGGAGACACGTGGCAGGGCAACCCGCGACGATGCGGCTAATTGCTGCAGCTATGTGCTGCTGTGCAGCGGAGTCTTTGAGCGCCAAAGAGGCCACACAGCCATGCAGGGCCTCAGTGGCAATCGACGAGGGGCTAGGACTAAGCCTGACGCACTCAGCTGCAGCAGCAGCATTAGCAGCACACCCCACAAGCGCGGCGCAGGCAGCAACGGGAAGCACGCATAGCCAACAAAGCAGCACGACCCAATAAAGTGCCGCCCACCAGCGTCCGTAGTGCCATATACGGCGGGCTAAAATGCTACAGGACCAGCGGCAAGCGCAGCAACTGCTCACCGAGCGTGAGCGTCAAAAGCGAGAGCCGCCGAGAAGCAGCTGCCTCCTTCGGCTGGCTCTGCTCTTGTTGCTGCTGCAGGCCTTTTTGCTGCTGCTGCAGGAGACACAGTTCCTGGAAAGGCAGACACACGGAAAACGCGTCGGCTGTGTCGAGGCTGTGACTTTCGAACCTCGCATTATTTCAGCTAACGAAGCGGAGGCTGCAGTGAAAGCTGGAGCGCTCAGACTTGACCTGCAGGATCTTCTGCGGCGCCTCCTCTGAGTCTTGCTGCAAGCGAAGACGTGCTGCAACTGTAGCAACTGCGCCCAGAGATCCCTCTGCGTCTGCAGTCGTTATGCCCGACAGGAGCCGCTGCAGGCACCCACGCAGCAAGCAACCCTCCGCTGTGAATGGCATGCAACCCTGCAGCACTGCTGCGTCGCCACACTTCAAGCGTAGTCCTTACCTCTGTAAGGTCCTCAGGAGTGCAGCACTGCCCCGAAGAGAAGCAGAGAAGCCTTAGGAGGGCACTAAGGGCTTCCACCGTCTGCGCTTCCAGAGGCTGCAGGTGAACAACCGTCAGCACCAGAGAAAGACATTGCTGCACCACCAACTCTTTTACAGACGCCTGCTGCTCTGGATGGCGAGCGTCCTCCTCCGGCAGTTGCAACAGGAGCAGCAGAATATGCAACGCGGCGAGGGCCGTTCCGGGGTAAGCCTTCGCCAAGAGCTTTGCCGCGATGCTGAAACAAGCAAACGAAAGGCAGAGGCAGTGGCAGCGCAGCAGACGTCATTCGCTCATGCGTGCGTGAATTCACGCAGAGCGTCTCTCTGTCTCTCTCTGTGTGTCTGTGCGTCTGTCTGTCTCTGTCTGTCTGTCTCTGTTTGTCTCTGTCTGTCTCTGTCTGTCTGTCTGTCTCTGTTTGTCTCTGTCTGTCTCTCTGTCTCTGTTTGTCTCTGTCTGTCTGTATCTGTTTGACTCTGTGTGTCTGTCTCTGTCTGTCTACAAAACTCCCGCGCAGGACGCCAACTGCAGGGTGTCCATGGCGCACCTGACGAGGCGCTGTTGCGTCTGCCCCTGGTGCAGCAGATCCGGGTGTCTGCGTAGCAGCAGCAGCAAACATTTTGCGGCTACCGAGCGCTGCTGCTGCTGCTGCTGCTGCTCCTGCTGCTGCGCCGCTTCCAGCAGCAGCTCAAGAAGTTGCGGAGCTGCTGCTGCCTCGCCACAGGCGGCAGCAGGTGCAGCATCTGCATCAGCGGGGAAGAGAGGCGGAGGACGTCCTTCCAAGGCAATCAAGAGCGACTCTAATGCTGAGATGGCAGTAACCAGACAGCCCACAGCTCCAGGATAGAAAAGAAGCGCGCACCTTTTCAAACGCAACTCAGCCTGTTCAACCCCGCTCGTCCGCAAAAACGCAAGTGTGGACAGCCTACCAGCTTTGCGGAAGCCAGTGCTCGCCAGGCGCTGCGCAAAGAGGCTCCAGCCTTTTGCCGCTGCTGCTGTCGTCGCCAGAGCCGCACACCCGCCGTAGCAGCGCATCAGGATACCTAGGACGCATGCCACCATGCGCAAGCCTCAACGCTCAACCCCCTGCCCTTCCCCCGCCGATGTACCCCAACTGCAGGTCTATTACCCCTTCGAAAAAACAGGCACGCAGCAGACGCACCTTATAACACCCGCTGCTCCCTGTACACCAAAAACCTAAAGCGGGACTAAAGAAGCGCCGTCCCTCTCTGCACCCTTCTTTCCCTTCGCCCTTTTTCCCCTTGCCCCGCTCCCTCCCCGCCAGCCATGACGGTTCCCCCTGCCACCGACTCTGGAGCGATGCAGGCCTTACCGAACGCGTAGAGAGCCGCCTCCCTCACTTGCGAGTCGGAGTCATCTAGTTGCTGCACTGCAGCCTCCAGCGCCTCGTGAGGAGCCTCGGCCTCGTGCGCCTCAGCAAGTCGCGCGTACACCCTGCAGGCGGAACGGCGGGAAAAGCGGCGCGCAGGAGCAGCAAAACCGGCAGCTCGCGTGCAGCAGCTAGCGCTGCAGAAGCAGCGAAGGTGCTGCTGGAAGGCAGAACGGCGCGCAAGAAACAGGCCAGGAGGCTCTACAGGCGCAGCTCTGGCAGCCTGACAGGCGAAAGGGGCAGCAACAGCAGCATTCGCGCAGCAGCAGAGGTCCGTCCTCACCCCGTAGACACAGAAATTCCCCACAATGCGGCAGCTCGCACGCGCGGTGACGCAGCAGCAGCGCAACTGCTGATGGACCTTCTCATAACCTGCGCTGCTGCACGGTGCAGCACTTGCTGCTGCAGCAGCGTCGCCTGCTGCTGCTGGTGCTGCTGCAGCTGCAAAGTGCAGACGATCACCGCCGTAGCCGACAGTCTGAGGCCGACTTCCTTCAGGAGTGCAGCGTCCGCCTGCAGCAGCCCCTCTGCTGCTGCCAGAAGCAGCGGTGTGAACCCCGCCGCTGTAGCAGGAAACGCTGTCGCTGCCTCCAAGAGCAGCGCGGCAGCTGCTTGCTGCGCCTTTAGCCCAAGAGTTGCGTCCACGCACAACCTGCTGGCGTGCAGGAGCACCTGCAGCAGCCGTAAAACTTGCAGCAGGCACCACCACCACTTTGCCGTGGAAACGACAGTGCAGCAGAAGCAAGACAGAGAAGCTGCAGGTGCTGTAGACCTTTGAACTACAGAATGCGCCTTACCGATGGCACTAGACGCTGAAGGGCCTCCTCCGTTTCAGGACGCTGCTCCGGAGCTTTGAGCACGTGGCGTAGGTTTGACTGTAGCTGCTGCTGCCGCTCTGCTGCGGCTGCCGAAGGCGGTAGCTGCAGCGCGCTTAGAAGCACCGCCGTTTCACATTCCAAAACTGGGGGGCCTCCCGCCAGCGCTCTTCTTAGCAGTCGGCGAAGCAAGTCAGTGCCCTAAGCATGCAGCACGCGAGATCTGGTTCTGAGAATGCCGCACTGGCTGCGTGGAAGGTGCACGGCTTGATGGTTGAAAAGGGATTCAGCCTTGGCACGTACCTGTATCACGACGCAGGGCTCATCCGGCTGCAACTGAGCTGCGACTGCGGCTGCAACGCCCTCGGGATAAAGCGCATATCGTCGTGGCGAGGTTCCAGTCGCTGCTGCCAGCACCTGCAAGGCAGACAAGACACTCGCCGCTCGCACGATACACCGTAAGCCCCAGCAAGACGCATGCTTGCACGCAGACTCCTCTTGCATCAGCAGCGAAGAGGCCGTAGGGGCACTCCTTCTCCGTCGCACGTTCAGTGCTTGCCTTGAGAGCTGCAGCCCTGATACCCCAGGAGTCTTCGGCATCCTCCAAATGCTCGTCGTAAGAGCAGCCTGGATCAAAGTCACCAAAGTCTTCGAACTCGCAGCTGCTGCTGCCGCCGCTGCTGCTGCCGGTGTCTCCCCCCTGAAGCAGCTGCTGCACGAGCTGGTCATTCAAAGGGTTCTGCAAGAGTTGCTGCAGCAGCTGCGCCTCTTGGCGCTGCTGCTGCTGCTGCTGCTCTGGAGTGAGCGGCGCATAGATGTTCGGGTTGTACCTTAGCAGCGGCACCAGCAAAGCATCCGCTGCAGCAAAGGCCTTCCGCGCAGCGCTGCAGCAGCAAAAGTTCGCTGCTGCTTCCAAAGCGGCAAGGGCCGCTAGCAGCAACGCACGCCGCTGCGCTCGCAGAGCTTCCGGAGTGCCTCCGGAAGGCAACTGCGGACAAGTCCGTACAGCGGCTTCCGCTGCTTCCTTGCTGCCGTCGCCAACGCATGCAGCAGGCAGCGCTGCAATGCTGCGCTCTACAGCGGCGGCAGCCCCTGCCGCAGCCGCGCTCGTGCTGCTCGTGCTGCTTGCAGAGTCTTCCTCGCGGAGAATGGCAGCCAAAGCCTTGAACAAGAAGACGCAGATGGCCGGCATGAGGCCCACCAGAGACGTTCTGCCGCCCCACGCACTGCTGCTGCTGCCGCTAAAGCCAATAGTGTTGCAGCGCTTGCACACTGCCCCAAGAGCCTCCAGGCATCCCACAGTCAGCTGAGGGGGCGACATCAGCGACTCAACGAGCTCTGCCACTTCTTCCGGCCGCAGCTGCGCCGAAAGCACACCCACACATCGATTTATACATCCATCCATAAGATCCACTTCTACGTACATCCATACATCAATGCATGCACACACACGCCTACATCCGTACATGCACTCATCCGTGCCCCCATCTATCCATACCTACATATACACACACACCTACATACACACACATACATACATCAATGCATACATACATACATCTATGTAGAGAGACATAACACACATCCACTTTTACATGCATGCATGCATCCATTCATACATACCTACCTACGAACGAACTATTACGCACATACATACCTACATCCATACATCTATGAAAGTACTGTCCATATATGCGTACAATTGTCCGAACAGCACTTTTATTCATACATTCAACTGTTGATACGGATGCACGAGTTCAAGCAAAGATCCGCATGCGACCCTAGAGCGTCGGGGCCCTCCTCCGAGGATCCTACAGCGCCTCGAAGCAGAGACACCCCCGCGTGGCGTCGTTTTTCTTTTGGCGTGCAGCCTCACGGTAGCAGTGAGTCCGCCAAGGCAGCGCGCAGCTCTTCTGGCTTTGGGTGGGGGTCCGTGCAGCAGTTGCATCAGGTGTACAGGCAGATCCGCCTCTGCCTGCGTTGATGGCCAGAGGTTTGCCCCAACATCTGCGCCTCCGAAGCGTGACAGCAGATCGCCCAAGAGGTCGAGGGCGTCATTCTGCACGGCTTCCTCGGAACTGTGAACTCCCTTTACCAGCCTAGGCAGTCACTCGCCACAGAGACTCATCAGAACCTCGACAGCAGCTAGCTACCGTTGGACGCTTCTCGGAAGCAGGCTAGCGGACTCTCTGAGAGGCTTCGGGGAGGAAGGGCAAAGCGGAGCTCTGCGTCTCTCTCTCTCTGTCTCACGGGGGCATCAAGACAGTCACGACGGTGGGAATCATCGAGGCTGGCATCTCGTTCAGCAAGCCTGAGCGCTCACAGAGACAGTGCCCAGGTCACCTCGCGCTTTGCAGCGCGTCGCCTTGCAGCGCGTCGGTTTGCAGCGCGTCGCGTGGAGCTCACCTTTGAGACAGGTGCAATGTAAGTCTCTCACCGGACTGCTGCTGTCGGCAGTGGCTGCAGCGAGCGACTGCAGCAGCCGCTTCGTCGTGTCCACAGAGAAACACAAAAAAAGCCGAGAAACACAGCGCACCTGTGCCGCACGTCCCACAAATTCAAAGCCTTGAAAGAGAGCCTATGAGGGCACCCCAAGACACCCGCCCCCGTAGCGCAGTGTCTGGAGTGCCGCAAAACTTACTGCGTTGGCTTGTACGTCGATGGAGGCGTCTCGCAGATGCTCGAGAAACGCATTCGCCACGCGGCCTTCCCATGCAGAACCTCGGCTCTGCAAACAACAGGGCACACAGGCCGAATGGGAGTCGCAAAAAAGCCTGCGCTTCTGAATTCTATGCCCTAGTCGGGAGACCTTCTTTCCGACGCCTTCACCTGGGGATCTTGAATGAGTAGCTCCGTTAAGTCTGAGGCTGCCATAAGCCGCCTGTCCTGCACGTGGCAAGAAATCGCAAGCCTCAAGTTCTCAAGCCTCCTAGGTGCTCAGCGCTCGGGGATGCCTTGACAGGCTGCCTGCCTGGTGTGGTCTGTCTCGGAAAATCGCCCTGCTAGCGTTGCAGCGCTTTTCCCACGTCGATGGCACTGCGTGGAAATCCAGCTTAGCGGCGGCATCTTCTTGCGTGTCTGGACTAGCAGTAGTAGTAGAAGTAGAAGGAGTAATAGAAACAGCAGTAGTAGTAGTAGTGGTAGTACTAATAGTAGTGGTAGTAGTAGTAGTAGTACTAATAGTGGTAGTAGTAGTAGTGGTAGTAGTAGTAGTAGTACTAATAGTAGTAGTAGTAGTAGTACTAATAGTAGTAGTAGTAGTAGTAATAACGCAGTGGATGTCTGTGGTCGCACCCTATCAATGTCGTCCATCTGCTGCAGCAGAGTGGGAAGGCTGTACTTCCTGGTTGCCATCTTCCCTGTCACTCCTGCTGTCGACCTCGGAAAGGCGCTGTCGCCGGAGGAGTAGTGGATATCCTGGCGCCTCCTCCCTGCTTCCTAGTGTGCGTAGTCAGACAGACAGACAGAGAAAGAGAGAAAAAGAGAGCGAGAGCGAGACTCCAGCAAGGCCTCTCGTTCGAACCCCTACACCTGAGAGTCTCGGCTTTACTCCCTAAACCCTCCCTGCAAGAAAGACTTCAGCACGCAGGTTTGAGCCGTCTATTGCGTTCTTCTCATGGTGCTCGAAAAAAGCGGAGACACCCAGCCAGCCGCAGAGCCTCCGATCCAGGGGGGCCCCTCCGTCCCCCTGCCTCGCCTTCTGCCAGCGGATGGCAGCCGTGTAAGGCAAGCAGCAGTGGCAGCCGCTGCGCGCGTGCGACATGTTCAGCTCCTTTGTCCTTTAAAAACGATCGTTCTGCAAGGCCAAGCATTTATCGAGTCAAGCAGGTGGATATTTCCGGCAACTAAGACGTACAACGCCTCTACCCATGTACACACCCCTGCCCGAGCGGGGGGGTCTGCCTGCCACGCTGGGCAGCCGTCCTGCACGGCGCTGACGAAAAGAACAAAGCCGCCGCTGATGACGCCTTGCCAGCTCTCTGAAGCTGCTCTCGCGCATTTTTGATCACGACGAAGCGCGTTTCAACGCCTCTGTGACCGGCAGAGCAGCTATACCGCAGATCCGCAACAGTAACGACCCGCAAGGGCGGCAGCCACAAGCGAGCACTGCAGCCGAATCGCCATCCTAGGCAGCGGCGCCTTTCTTCCTGCTGAACAGCGAGTATTTCTCTGACCGTCCTCATCCTACACGCTAACTCAGAGGGTGGCAACGACAGAAGAGAGGTCTTCCTCGCCGCCTTCGCGGACTGCCACGCTGGCGTCAGTACACGGCTCGCGCACGAAGCAGCACCACTCACAGACCCCCCGCAGCCACAGCAGCGGCAGCAGCGGCAGCAGCGCCTCCCCCGCTCCAGCCAACACTGGGAGAGCAGCAGCAATGGGGCAGAACTGTGTGCGACCAAGCCACCCCTCCAAGAACGCGCCCGCCTACAAGGATGCGCCTTCCCACAAGGGTAGGGCTGCACGAGGCTTTTTTGCAGCAGCAGGAGGCAGCAGCAGCAGCACCTGCGCCCCCCCTGCTGCTGCTGCTGCCACGGCCGCCTCCCCCCCGCAGCAGCAGCAGCAGCAGCAGCAGCAGCAGCAGCTGCTCCTGCGGGAAACCCTCGCCAGCGGCAACAAAAGGTGGACAGTCGCCTCGCCTTCCCTCGTGTACTGCATCATCAACAGGAAAGCTGCGAAGCATGCAGCCATCGTCTTCGACTGCAGGGCACCCTCGTGCTCTGCAGGAGGTTCCAGAGGAGCCACTCAAGACTTTCATACCCAAAACACAGACGCAAGTCTGAGGAACGTCTCCCACGAGGCAGCAGAAATTCGACTCCACTATGGCGTCTCGCCGTGGCGAGGAAGCTCTGACGTTGCGCGCGCTCTCCAAGACTTCAGGGAGGCACCCCCCCTGCTGAGTCTCACGAAGCAGCAACCCCGTAAGCGCAACCTCATCGTTTGCCACGCCGCTATAAAAGTGCTGCGCAGCAAAGCTGCGAAACCTCAGCAGGCAAGACCACACTTCGCCTAAGACGCAGCGCTGCATTCAACGCACACACAGCAGAGGCAGAGTGATAAAGGCAGCAGCTCCTGCTACGCTGGCTCTCTCTTGCTGTTACTGCCTCTGCTGCTAATGCTGCCTCTGCTGCTAATGTTGCCTCTGCTGCTAAGAATACGTCTGCTATTACTGCCTCTACTATTACTGCCTCTGTTGTTTCTGCCTCTGCTATTACTGCCTCTGCTATAACTGCCTCTGCTATTACTGCCTCTACTGATATTTCTGCCTCTACTGCTAATACTAGGTCTGCTATTACTGCCTCTACTGCTATTACTGCCTCTACTGCTATTACTGCCTCGACTGATATTTCTGCCTCTACTGCTAATACTAGGTCTGCTATTACTGCCTCTACTGCTATTACTGCCTCTGCTGCTATTACTGCCTCTACTGCTATTACTGCCTCTACTGCTATTACTGCCTCGACTGCTATTACTGCCTCGACTGCTATTACTGCTATTACTGCCTCTACTGCTAATACTAGGTCTGCTATTACTGCCTCTACTGCTTTTACTGCCTCGACTGCTGTTACTGCCTCTACTGCTATTACTGCCTCGACTGCTGTTACTGCCTCTACTGCTAGTACTGCCTCGACTGCTAGTACTGCCTCCGCTGTTATTACTGCTGCAGGTTCTCCGGTGTCTCGCTCTGCCGCTGCGAATCCTGCAGCTCGGAGCAGCGGCTTTATATGGCCCCGAATGCGCATGCAGACGCTGAAATTCTTGCGGTCGACATCCAAGCTGCAGCAGCAGCAGGAGAAGGAAGCAGCAGGGCAGCAGCAGGAGGCTCAACAGCAGCATTCGGAGGATCAGCAAGGAGAAGCCAGCAGCGGGGGCAGCGAGGCGAAGGAAATCGAAACGGCGAACTGCGAAAAGCGGCAGCCCCCCCCCACTGGCACGGACAGAGTCTTGCCACAAACGCGCAGTGTTGACGCCTCTGCCAATACTGCCTCTGCCACAAGTTGTGCAGGCAAGACAGATTCGCCTTCTGCCTCGGCAGCTGCTGCGGCTTCCTGCGAAGCAGCGCTGCGAGGAGACGCTTCCGAGGAAGGCCTCCTCAGAGCGAATTCGCTGGAGGTGAGCGCCACAGAGTGTCTGCTGTAAGGAGCGAAAGCGAGGCTGTTGACTGCGAGCAGGGGAAGGGGTGGTATACGGCTTGTTGGCTGCCCCTGTGTGCTGCGCTGCATGTGCAGTCTGGTCGGATAGCCGGCGGCAAAGGTGAGCTGATACTGCTGCAGAGGATCTGTTGAAGGCATTCAAGGCCTTTTCAGCGCCTTGAGGAGAGTGGCGTCTGCTCAGGTGGGGAAGGCTGCTCTGTGCTGTGTTGTTGTTGATGCAGTCGACAGAGAACGCCTCGCTTCGGCTGCGCTGCATCGAATCTGCTCGCAAGGAAGCCACACAACAGCGGCCACTCCGACTGCAGCAAATGCAGCGGCAGACCCCGCGGCAAGCGCAGCAGGGAACCCCCCTGCTGCAGCAGCTGGTGCAACAGCAGCAGCTGCTGCTGCAACAGCAGCAGCAGCGGAGGAGGGAGGGGGGCCTCCCTACCTGCAGCAATGGCTGCGTCAAGTGTGCAAGCTCAAGACGGTGGGTGCTCTGTGTGCTGTTTTTCCTGTACTTGCGGCTGTTATTTTTGAGGACTGCTGCCACGCTTTTGCACGGGAAGGGAAAAGTGCTCAGAAGCCTTCGAGCAGTGTGCTCCATGCGCCTTCTCTCAGGTGGTAGCCGTCGGCGAGTCGGATCAAGATCCCTTGCTGCTGCAGTTTCTGCGGTACCTGCAAGACAGCAACACGCAGTGCACGGAGGCTGTTGTGCTCGCCGGTAAGTCGTAATTTCTCTAAGCGGAAGCCTCTCTCTGCTCGTAAGCTTCGCGCGATAAGGGTATTTTCCCCAAAAAAGCACCCTCTGCATGCGATCAGGCGGCATTAAGACGCTCATTCCGAGGTACTCCCTGCTCCTGACAACCTCAGATGTCTTGCTGCCAGGACCGACGGAAATCATCCCCCCCAACACTCACCTGGTAACACCCTCTCCGCCTCTTCCCCCTCGCTGCTTGGTTGGCTTGGAGCAAAAATCCATAGGGCCCCTCATGCCACCCCTCGCGTCGTGGGAGCTTCAACTCTCCAAGAAGGAGGGCTTGTCTGTGTGGTGTGTATCTGTGTGTCTCTCTCGGCTAGTATGCGCCTTCGGTGTACGGGAGGTGGATTGCAGAAGTGTTGATGCATGCAAAAGAAGCTTCCGCCAGAATAGTGCGGTGTGGGGGGGGGTTGCACTCAGATGGGAAACGACACCAAGCAGCACTTCGCGCTCTTCGTGGCAGATGCTCGAATTGTTTATACCAACCAGCAAGCTCTCCGACACTTCGGCATCCAGGTGCAGGCATCCCCTAAATGTCTTGTTGCTTTGTGCCGCATTGTTGCTGCTCCCTGTGCTGCATTATGCTGCTGTTGCTGCTCCCTGTGCTGCATTATGCTGCTGCTGCTCTGTGCCGCATTGTGCTGCTGTTGCGGCTCCCTGTGCTGCATTATGCTGCTGCTGCTGCTCCCTGTGCTGCATTATGCTGCTGCTGCTGCTCCCTGTGCTGCATTATGCTGCTGTTGCTGCTGCTTGTGCTGCATTGTGCTGCTGTTGCTGCTCCCTGTGCTGCATTATGCTGCTGTTGCTGCTGCTTGTGCTGCATTATGCTGCTGTTGCTGCTTTTTTGACACCCCTTGGCGTGGCGTAAAAAGAGTCTCGTCCCCAGGCCCCCTGTGTCTTCCAATTTTTTTCCGCTTGAGAGACACCTGTCTGCCTCGCTGCTTTCTCCTGTTGTGGCGGTATGCGAAGCTGCTGATCTCGCTGGATCCTCCTCCTGCGGGATGTCGCGGCGCTTCAAAGATGCAGGCCCTTAAGAAGGAGGGCTTTACCGTTCTGGAAGTTCCCTTCAACATCGAGCAGAGACATTTCCCGTATGCGGAAGCCGCGGCATGCATTCAGAAGGCGCACGACGACAACATGCCTGTCCTCGTAAGCTGAATAGCCGTTGAACGCCTTGCCGTCAGACTCTGCGGAGGCTTCTCCAGGCGTGCCTGGGGGGCATGGCGATGCGAAGCGAAGGCGTCCTCGATGAACAACCAGGCTCAATTTAAACGCGAAGTCTGACGAGTTCGAGGGCGGGCTTGCACCAACCGCTTTTGCATGCGTTTCCGCAGGTGTTTGACGCCTGCGGGGATGTCCTTTCACCGGGTGCTGCGGCGAGCTTCCTGGTGATGTGCGGCTTCGGCGTCATTAAAGCGATTTCCCACGTGAAGCGGAAGGCAGACTATGCCAGGGTAAGTGCGGGCGAGAGGATTTGTGGGGGGCGGTTAGGAAGCGGGGAAAAAGCGCCACGTGCTGAGGAGGCCTACCCCGCAGGAGCCGCAGCGAGACGCGCAGAGAGACACCAGAAGAAGAAACGCAGAAGGGGCAGAACGTGTGGCGTGAGTGCAACGCAGCTCGACAGCTCCGTAGTGACAGAGCTTTACCGCCTCACGGGGGGTATGCGGCAACCCACGGAAAGAGGATTATCCCTGATAGACGATGCGGGTCCTCTCCTTGTCTCCTCACCAGTACGTCCTCGATACGCGGCTTCTTGGTTCAGAGGCGTCGGAAAGGGGGGGGAGGTAGTGAGAGACGCTGCAGTCTTGGGATACAAAAATGCTGGGCTGTGAGCAACAGGCAGGCTGCTGCTGCTGCTGCCTTTTTGCCTTTTTGCCTCTGCCTCTCGAGGCTTTTTTCCTCCCAGGTGGCTAAAAAAAGGCAGCCGAGGACGCGCAGCAACAGTGGCAAAGGCGCGTGCTTTTGAGGCCCTTCTTTTGCTGCTGGGGTTCTTGCATGTTGCGTTCTTCCTGCATGCAGAGCAGTCCACTCTCCGCACCGCTGCCTCAGACAGAAGCCATGGTGAGAGCGATCGAGGAGTCGAAAGGCATGCGATAGGCTGCTGCACGTTGTCAGAGCTCCGCGGCGGCTAGCTGCCCCGTATGGAGCGTTTGGGGAAGCTAGCCAACGCTGCAGCGGAGGATGCAAGAGGCCTCCTGCCTTTCAGCCGTGCAGCCAGTGAGAGATTGGCACAGTGCGAAACGGTGTTGCTGCCTTTGTGAGGCAGGCAGCTGAAGCTCTGGCCTCTTTCACCGCTTCTGTGGGGTCAGCATGCACAGCCGAATGCTTGGGGGTTGTATCGAAACTGCTAGCCAACATTGCGAGCGATCCCCACGACGAACGCTACAGACGCCTCAAATTGGTGAACCTCGGATTCTACGCACTTTCTTGGCTTCCCTTAAATCAACAGCTCCTTTTTCCCTCCCTTTTCCCCTCTGCATCCCTTCCCCTCCCAGGCGAAATTATTCAGCGCACCGTGCTAAACCGCCTACGTGAACCTAATCGCTAGGCTTCGAACGCATCACGTTGCGTCACAGGATAACCCTAAAATAAAGAAAACGATCAGCTGCCATCCCCCCCTTCTGTGCCTCCTTCGTCTCGGTAAGGGAACTCGCAACCTCAGATTCTAGCTACGTGCTTCTCTGCTGCGTGGTGTTTGGCGCCGCCGTGGAGGGGGCGGGTAGCTGCCTCGCAAATGCGAAGAAGCCCTAAGGTACCGCGCAGCAGGCAGACAGACAGACAGACAAGCAGACAGACAGACAGACAGGCAGGCAAGCAAGCCACAACACGCACTCTAAGGGAGAAGCTGCAAGTGTGGACTCCGTGCTGCTGCTGCTGTTGTTGCTGCTGTTGCTGCTGCTGCTATTGCTGCCCCACAGCGGGCTTCGTGGGGGCACCCAACGCCTCCGAAATGGTATTCCCCCCCGACGCCTCCCTCAGCCGCTTGCACGCCTGCCTTAGTGCCGTGAAGCTGCATCAGAAGCAGCAGGAAGAAGCAGCCGCACAGCTTCAGACAAGACACAACACCGACCCCTAGCTGCAGGCAGGGAGCCGCCGCCTCTCCGGGAAGAGCAGCAACAGTTGCACGAAGACGCAGTCGCGAGGCCCCCTCCACCAGGCGCAACTCGTTTCTATAGAAAACGGCTTTTTCGATCAGTATTAGAAAGGGAAGTCTTGGAGAGTCACGTCAAGAACTCCCCCTTGTACAGTTTTTGCATCAAAGGGGGGCCCTTTGTTTGGGAACCCCCCATGTGCCACGCCACGTGCATGCATGCATGCATGCCTGCCTGCCTTGCATACATACAACACTACCCGAAGATACACTTGAGAGGCCCTCATGGGAAAATGAGGCCCCAGTGCTGGACCCTTTTCCTCTCTTATCCCCCGCATACCCCCTCAAGGAGCACCTCCAGGCAAGGGCTCCCTGCAGAAGCCCAGCCGGCTTCTCTCATATTTCGTTTCATCTAGCTAACAGCTAGCCATGCGTGCACCCTCGCAAAAAGCCGAGCACCCAGCTAGCGCCACATGGCTAGCCGTACAGAGAGCAAAATAGCTCGCTGGTTCCGGGGCAGCTTCCCTGCAAAGTACCTAATTCGCTAGCTAGCTAGCTAGCTAGCTGGCTGGCCGTCCGAGCAGCGGTTCGCGCAGCAGGCGGGAGGCAAGAGGGAAAAATCGTATAGGCGTCTGTCTGACTCGGGTGGCTAGTGCCCGGCGCAGGACGCTAGTTGTTTAAGCAAGAGCGAAGACTTTCTTCTGCAGGCACAAAGCATAGGGAGGCGAGCCTTATTTCATGAAACAGCTCCTGCAGCCCCCCACTGGAGACAGGCCGTAAGAAAAAGCCTTTCCGAAACGCCCCTAGAGACTCACCTTGGCGAGCTGAGCCACCGTCTGGAGGGCCTTCTCGGCACGCTTCTCTGCATCCTCAGCCTCTGTAGCATAGGCACACAGCATTCTCCGCATCGCCTTTCAGTGACGTGTCTGCTCCGGAGTAGTGAGAGGTCTTTCTCCCTCCGCAGAGGAGTATGCAGCTGCTGCTAGGATACGAAGCTAGAACTGCCTTGCTGGGCCTCTCCGCTTCATCCCTCCCTCTCTCTCTCCCTCCTCTTCATCCCTCCCTCTCTCTCCCTCCTCTTCCGCCCTCCCTCTCTCTCTCCCTCCTCTTCATCCCTCCCTCTCTCCCCCCCCCCCCCCCCCGCCCCCCCCCCCCCCCCCCTCGTCCCCCCCCCTCCCCCCCCCTCTCCCCCCCCCGCCCCCCCTCCTCTCGCTCCCCAGCACCTCCCCCCCTCTACCTCCCTCTCTCCTGCACACACGTCCCCACTACCATTCACC